TACCTATACTGTAAATAGGTCTTAGTCATCAGGTCTACTCCACTTCCTTGTTGCCTGCTTAGACTCTTGGCACTCTTAGGTGAGCAGACTTAGTCAGCCTGTGTTGCCCTAACAGAACCAATGCTTCAGGGCAACAGGTGTCCTTTTGTTGGTGAGAAAGCCACTGGAGTTGCCTACAGTGGAATGTGCCCTAGTTGAAGGCAATTTTGATTTGAGGAGCAATAGAGTACCTGGGTGGGTGGTCTTGCATGACCCTGGCATTCCTAGACAAGAGCTAGGTCACTCATCAACATAAATCTCAGCTGTGTAACCTTCTAACAGCCAGTTGCTGCTGAATCAAAGACACTGACTGACCAAATCATTGAAGGCAAAGCAGGGAGTGGGTATAAACAGACCCCTATTGCAATGTACACTGGTGATAGACAGTTCCATGCCCACTGTAGGTCCACTCTCCAGCAGGGCAGCTCGAATAGCAGTTGGATTGGGCTGTCTGATGGTGGAGGGCAGGTGGCAAGAGGTGGCCAGGAGCTGACTTGATGAAGAAGCAGAGGGTAGAGTTTGATTGCTTGCTGGCCCTACATTGGCTTGTTCTCCTTCCCCGCCTACCCCACTGCCCTTTGCAGCAGGAGTGGTGTGGTTGTGTTTGCAACCTGGTGCTCCCATGTCTCCTCCCACAACTCTACCACCCATCCCACCACCCTTAGCAGCAGGAGTGATGTGGTTGTGTTCACTACCAGCACCTCTCTCCTCCACATCCCATCCTCCCCCACCAGTGCCCCATAACTCATTGGATGTGAAAGGGATGGCACAAGTCTGATGATGATGTTGCTTAGGGGAAGGGCTGATCATGATCACACTCATCTAAAGCTGAAATCAGTGATGTTTGGAGTCTGAACTGGCCAAGTACTCATCTGTACCTCTGTGCGGTCATGGTTGCACTTGCGTTCAATGTTGCCATGCTGGATCTCTGGTGAGATCTCAGCAGGGCTTTGTTGTGTTAGGTTCCTTATCCACTGCCTGTACATCTGCCTCCACACCCTCCAAGTGTTCCTGCACTTTGACATAGACCTTTGGTTCCATTACCAGCCTGAGATGAAACATCTTCCTTGATGAGGAGAGTTTGCTGGCACTGCTTGAACCAGGATGCTGCAATGCCAGGTAGTGATCATAAAAGAGCACATTGGAATCTTCATATTGCTCATAGTTGGTTGTATCCTGGCCTTTGAGCATGAAGTTTTGGGTGCAAAAGATGAAGCCCTTTGTGCCCTCGAAGAGCTGTTGCTGTACTGCTCCAAGCAGAGCTGATTTAATTTCAGATTTTGTGCTTTTTGCAGGGAGCTCAAGCTGATACTTGATATTCTGTTGAGCTGTGAGTAGAATGAGGAAAAGAGTGAAGTATTGGAGGTACCTTGAATACCTTGGACCCAGATTTACCCTCTTCCTGGAATGTTATGGCAAACTTGATGCCAATGAGCTTGGGTGCAACTTTGGCAAAACCTTGCTGGGAACACTGATGATAGTCTGTCTCACACTGCAATGTTGAAAAGTGCTTCTTTGAAGCACCCCAGACTAGCCCCTGAGGTCCATCAATCAAGCACACAGAGTGCTATGTTGGGGTTGATATGCAACCCCATGTTTCATGGGTAAGAGGTGCTGTTTAAAAGCATTTTGTTGAACATTTCAGCCCATTGGTAAATATTATAGATATTTGACAAATTTTATTAATAAAATTAATAATACAAAAAAGCATTTTTAAAGCACTTCAACTCCTTCTAAGATGATTAGGCTGGGAATTCAAACAAATGCTAGGGGATGTTTTGTAATAGACAACACATTTGCATTCATCTGCCTCTCCGAAGCTCCTTGAAATCCTCATAGAACTTCACCCAGTCCAGTACTAGCAACACTCCGGTTAAACCACAGCATATATGTACCTGATAGGTCATTTTCAGCAGGTGTAGGTGTCACATTTGCTGTCCTCTAAGTGCAGGATAGCAAAGGGAAGGAAGGGGAAGCAGTTGCTTGAAGGCACATCACAGCACAAGCACAAGGGGAGGAGTGGTAGACGAATGGAGAGGAGGTGGTGGTAGATGTGAGAGAGGCAGATGAGGTGAAGGTGATAGTGACAGACTTAGACAAATTGGCCTTGACACACCTCATCAAGACCCTTAGTGGCTGTGCAAGTGCTCCAGGTGCTTAATTGAGGCCCAAAACCCCTCATTAGGAAAAGGCATCAAACAAAGCTAAAAAAAAGCACTTCTGGATCTGCCATGCTTCATTTAAGCCCCTTTGGAGAAACTGCCCCTGAAGTGCTTGAAATATATTTATAAGCACTTAGGGTCCTATATAGCGGACTCTATTCTGCATCCAGTGTCATAGTGATCATGATTTGATGTATATCTGCTCTCACCCCTTTTTGCCTTCCCATGGCAATACTGCTTGAGGTTGAGGAATGAATTGGGGCTCTTGCCTTGTTGAGAAGTGAGCCAATTGCCTTGACCAGAGATCTACCCACTGTGATAGCATGAGAAGGCAGATCAGCACAGTGGAATGAGGGCACACCATGCATTTTGGCCCTCTGGTTTATCCTCCTCAGCACATTGATGTCGGGCTGCAGAGGTGTGTCAGTGGTTCCAGACACTGCCAAAGAAGTTTCACATTGAGATCCTGTGGGTTCTATTGGAACATTGGAATGAAGAACGGTGAAGGATGCTGCTTTGTACTTTTGCCAGCATGGTGGGCAGATGATGATAAGGTTGTGTCCTGTCTTATCTTTCATCTGCTGATAGAGTTGCCCAGGTGGGACAATGTAGTGCAGCTGAGTTACACAGAGCACACCACAACTACACAGCTCTGGTCAAGAGGTGACATAAGTCATGGCATGGGGTGCTGGTGTCACCTCAGAACCTGCATGTTTAGGTGCCATGATAGCACTTGTTGTAGGCAGAAGGGGGAAATGATATTTGGATGCTGATTGGAAGAAAGGAAAGTACCAAGGTGAATGCCTTGAATGGTATACTATAGAAGGGAGAGGGAATAGAGGGCAAGACAATGCTTGCCCTCCAGGTCCACTAGTCTGCCTTAAAGGGCCAAACACTGCCAGCAATTTCAGCCAGGTACAGACTGCAGATGATTGGTGGTTGTGTTTGCTACTCAATTGGCAAGCCCAACATGACAGATAGATAGATTGTTGTTGCTGGGCAGGAAAGCATCACAAGACCCAAGTAAAGATTGTCACCCATTTCACAGGACAACTGTTGCCAGAAATTGAAGAAAATTGTGAGGCTGATCAAGAAGAACTGCCCACAGAGATATGACAGGGAGGATTGCAATGCAGAAGAAGCAAATCCATTTATGTGCCCTTTATAAAATCCAGAAAGCTGGCTGCCTGTTGGTTGAAAAGCCTGCATTGATGGAAGGGACAGGCTGATCCCTGGCTTAAGGCTTCTCTGTTGTCATCAGCAGGAGCAACAGGCTGCCATGAATGGTGCTTCTTGACATGGATCTGCTTGATCTGTTCAGCTACCACTACTCTGGATGGAATTATATTGACAAGCTACTCTAGATGGCCACATAGATGAGAACTTTATGTCTGAAATGTCTGGCAAAGATGGTAGCTCTATGGACGGAGGTCAGCATCAGCGTCAACGAAACCAACACCTGCCAATCAGTGAGCAAACTCCAACTGAGAACTGCTGATTTGTGGGCTAATTCACTGCAGTTCCAGATGAAGAACTTCTTCCATGAATATAGGAGTACTGGAAGCATGGTTTGTCAGATGTTGCCATAGCTGAAGCCATCAAAGGAGATGTGGATGCAGTGGGCAGAGGATGGGGTCTGAGGTGCACCAGCATCCACACAAATGTATTGGAATGTTGGCTGACACACATGCAGCACCAAGACCATTTGTTGTCATTGCCATCAGCTGGGGTTGAAGAGTGTGCATCAGCAGGCACACACTTTGGAGTCAATTTGGGTGTATATGGAGGAGCTGCAGGAGGAATACCCTTCAGCAAGAACCAAGCAAGTGAAGCATTGGCTGTGCTTGAAGAATGTATTCACATCAATGTACATTATGTGGTGTGGTTGTGTTTGTTGCCCACCTCCACCTTTAATCTTGACATTAATAGAGCTGACAATTCAAGCTGTAGTCATCTCATCTGCAAGGATAACCAGCAATTCCACCCCAAAGATGTTAGACATTGGAAGGGAAAGAGACTCAAATGCATGCAATTCTGGGTGACAGGGGTGTTCGAGGCAGTCTCTATGGACCAGCATGATAAGTGGGCCCAGTATGGCCTGTTCTTGCACCTTGGAATGGAGAACTTTTCTGGGGCTTTACTGTGGCTGAGGGTGTGGTGGACAAACAGCAATCCCCACCTCATCTTTTGATATTACATTGATGTGGCTAGGTTGCATGGCAATAAGTCTCCCCTGCAATGTGCTCCTCTCCTTTTTTATGATACCCAGGGATCCCCCTTCTCATGCAAAGCAATCCTGGCAGTGAGAATAATGGAGTTGTGAACAGACATAGTTGGTTATGACAGCACCTGGATCCTGAGCTCATTGGCAAACTCCAGCATTGTTGGATGAGAGGTCATTCCAACATCAAGCCCGAAATTAAGTGGAGCCAACTTTGCAGGGAATTCAGTCATAGATATGAGAGTTTGTGGGTCGAGGGTGTTGCAAATCAGTGGTACAACAGAGACAATCCATAGGACTAGTAAGTGTACATTGGGGCATACTACAAAGACATTTACTGATCAAGCACAGCTACACCTTTGGCTGGCTTGCAATACCTTTCATTCAAGGAAAGCTGGATGAGTATGTGTACATGCATAATACAAGCATACTGCAAGCCAATAAGAATAAGATTCTGCCTCTGGGGTGGCCTGAGCACATTCTGTACCACCTGGATCGATTTGGAGTGAGAAGCTACAAGGTGAGTGAGATTATCCCTATGCAGCTCTTTTCTTACTGGAATACTAGGTTCTTATCCTGAAAGTGGAGTTTGGTGAGGCAGAGAAGCTTTACATGCCAACTGATCACCCTGTTTTCCAGCTCATGCCCCAAGACTTTGACATTCAAATAATGATTGTTTATGAGGAGATTGGGCAGCTGAGAGTAACCACGCAGTCATTTTGGCAGATCTATCTCCAATTGCAAGATGCCCTTGCTGGCAGCAAAGACCTTCGTGAAAGTCTAGCAAGCCAAGAAGAGTGGGAAATCAGAATTTGCCATGAGCACATGGACCTGGAGAACTCTGTGAGGGAGAGTGATGAGGATGGCAATGGGGAAGAGGAAGAGGAAGAGGATGTCAATGTTATGCAAGAAGTGGAGGACTTGTAGCTGTCTGTGTGTTTGTGTTTGTTGCTCAAATGTACTTGTGTTGTTGTCAAGATCGGAATTCTACTTTAGTACTGCCTTATGACTTGTCAAGTGTTGTTCTTCTACCAGATTGTATGTTGTCTTAGGGCAAGGCCATTCCATCCCAATGTAACACTCTCATTAATATTATAATATTATGTAATCTTGAACTGCTTTGTCATTAGCTGGTGCACTAAATATTTAAATTCCCTGAAATACCCTGTGGTCTGGCCCTATTTTCCAATTTGCCATGGGTCTCTCGACCAAGACCCTGCCCATATTAGGGCTGTCCGTTCTGACTTTCCATACACGTGGAAGGAAGGGATATCATCACGTGGCATTCAGGGTAAATTACGGCACCGAACAATGAAAGAGAGTGCGGGGTATATAAAGCACTTCTTTCACTCATTCACTCCTTCATACAATGCTACGTCGCTCACTCCCCCTCCTCCATCGTCTACACCGCTCCCTCTCCTCCTCCTCCCTCCCTCCTCTCTCACAACCACCAACACACGGCCATCTCCCAAACACACACAGCGCACTCACCCCTTCACTTCACTTCTTCAACTCTGTCCTCCCGGGACAGATACCCACGTACAGGGTGTTGGACTCGAATGGTGTTATTGTTGACGGGGCAGAGGTACCGGACGTGGGAAGGGAGTTTGCTAGACGCTTGTGAGTGCTTTTTCTGTTAGGGGAGGGTGGCTGATCTGAGTGCGGGTGGGGACAGGTATGAAACGATGATGCTTCTTCCTGCGGTCGATAACGTGCTCTACAATGCACAGCGACACGGTAGCATCAGGTACGTCTCGCTCCTTCTGCGTCCATTCTCACCGCTCACAAAATGCACAACACAGTTTCTACATGACAACTGTATGCCCTCCTCCCCCTTTCAAACCCCCACTGATCGCGAGTAGCACGGCGAAGAAGCCGCCGTAGTTGGGTCCGCAGCCGCCCTCTCCCCGACAGACGAGTACGCCCCCCGGACCTCCTCCCTCCCCCACACTCCCTAACCCCCCCCATCATAGAGTCCTAGGTCAATACCGCGAGCTCGGCGTCCTCCTCTGGCGCTCCTACCCCCTCTCATCAATCATGGCCCAGTGTTTCTCCTCGATGGACGACCCAGGCAAAGGGCGTCAAATGCCCGTCCACTTCGGCTCTCCCGCCCACCACTTCCACACCATCTCCTCCCCTCTCGCTACCCAGATCCCGCAAGCTGCGGGCGTAGCCTTCGCCCTCAAGCGCGACCCTGCCCGGAAGGGGGACGTCGCCATCTGCTATTTTGGGGAGGGCGCTGCTTCTGAAGGAGACTTCCACGCCGGGCTGGGCATGGCCAGTGTTCTAGGCGGACCACTCATCTTCTTTTGCAGGAATAACGGGTTTGCGATCTCTACCCCGGCGGCGGAACAGTATGCGGGGGATGGGATCGCTAGCCGCGGACCGGGATATGGGATCAGGACCGTGAGGGTGGACGGGAATGACGCTTGGGTGCGTCTGTTTTTCCCTTCATCTTGTTCTCGTCCTCGTGCTGCGTGGGACGGGTTATGCTTCCTTGCCTTTGGCTTGCTGTGTCCGCGAAGGCTGACTGGTGTAGGCGGTATACAATGCTGTTAAGGAAGCGCGCCGCTTGGCGCTCGAGTACCAGAAACCGGTTTTAGTGGAGGCGATGACTTACCGGTATGCACTCTCTTCCCTCCATTCCCATCTTATCACGTCCCACTTCCACTTTCTCTTCCGCTTCCCCTCCCCCTTCCTCCGAGTCCGCCTTCTTCCCAACCCTATTCCCCATTCATCCCTAACCCCCCACCGTAGCGTCGGCCACCACTCCACATCAGACGACTCCTACGCCTACCGCCCAAAACAAGAAGTCGAAGACTGGAAACGAATCGACAACCCCCTCTTCCGTCTGCGTCGGTACCTCGAATCCCAGTCTCTCTGGTCCGAATCAGACGAATCCTCCCTGCGCACCTCCCAGCGAGAGGCAGTACTCGCTGCTTTCCGCTATGCCGAATCCCGCCCCAAGCCCAGGTTGGGGCAGATGTTCACCGATGTCTGGGGAGGGGAGGAACCGTGGATGATCAGAGAGGATAGGGAGGAAATGGGAAGGTTGTTGAACAAGTATGGCAACGTTTGGGAGGGCTGGAGGAGGGAGTTGGAGAGGTTTGACGCGGGGGGGAGGGATATGATGGGCGCTGGGGAGGAGGAGGAGGAGAATTAGCCGCGAGGGGGGGGGGACTGTTACGGCTGCTATGGTTTGATGCGAGGGCGGGATGAACGTGTGGTATTACAGATATGTAGGGTGCAACAGTATGATGTAGAATATGCGGGCGATGACACCCCTGCGAGGAACCCAGATCCAGAAAGGACATCCCACAAGAAAGACCGAAAGACCGAAAGATAAAACCCAAAGCCCAAAGAAAAAGTCTACACTTCCCACTTCCTGTTTCCCACTTCTCCTTCTACGAGCGGGATCGAACCCACAGGTTACGCTTCCCCCTCTTGCTGCTCCCCCTCCTGCTCCCCGAACGCGCTAGGCTGCCATTCCCCACACAGCCCATGCTCGACATAAACGAGCCCCATGAGCTCGCACTCGATTTCCATCAGCTGAGGATCTCCCACAGAGCGCTTAGAGTTTGGCACCTATTGCATTCGCACTCAGTTGTTGTTCCAGCACAGGTGGGGAGGGAACGTACAGCGATCAGAGTCCTCGCGCGAGCCAGTTCTGGGATGCGGGAACGGATCACCGGGATCCATAGTGCTTGCACCGGGATGGTGCCGAGTAGGAAAACAGAGAGCAGGAAGAGGGTCTGGAGCTGCATGATTTTTGGCTTTTCAGAAGCGGAGGGGTAGGGGTGAGGGTGACGTGGAGGTATGGGAGGTATGTTGCCTTTTGCAGTGCGTGCGTTTGTGCGGCGTGTTGTGGGTATGCGAAGAATGCGCCCCGGGGGGGTTTATAGCTTTTGTAGGACGCGTATCGGGGCAATGTAGGTGAGAACAGGGAGGTGAGGTATGTGCCTGATCATTCCCTAGCGAGACAGGTCTCCCACCTCGCAGGGTCCGACACCTCCCCCTTCTGCCCCAAAACTTCATAGCGCACCGACACAAGGCCAGAGCGTCGTCAACCTTTTAGACAACGGATTGGTATGCACTTGCGGCTCGGGAGGGGGGAGGGATGGGATGGCTGGAATGGGAATGTCGGTTTCGCGGTGCGGGTGAGCGGATGAGTGGCTGGTCGAGACGAGACGAGACCGAAACCGAAACATTCCACATCCATATCATCCCATTCTCTAGCTTCCAGCCTCCCATTCCCTAGCCCATTCCTCCCGGGAGCGGCTAGAAGATTGTGCGCATCCGTCCCGCCAGGTTGAGGAACGTAGGAGATTGGGAACTTGACTGCTTGCAAGCTAGCGGATGACCCGGGTAGAAGAGGGATCGGTTCCTGGGCCTGAGTAGAGGTGTCGGACTGCACTGGTACTGCAGCTAGTTACTTGTCTCCAGAAGATCGGGAAGATTATGAGTGGAGTCACGAGATAAGTCACATAGGGCAGAGAGGAGCGTTCAATCAAGAGCTCTGTGGCCAGCAGGAGCAAAGTACCCAGATACAAAGACAGAGTTGGCCAGAGCTGATCCTTAACCGGTTTCGGATTCCTCCTGTGCCTTAGCTCGCAGGTACAGGTAAGTCATTTCCACCCGACTATACAGAATCTGTGACATACACTCAGATCTGCAAAGGGCAAGCCAAAGGGTAAGTGAGTCATCAAATCATTAACATTCATTAATCTTCATACTGTATCAACACAGCCTCTAGACACATATCCTTACGTCATCAGGCCTTCCTCACTACAACATCAACAACCAACACCTCATGCACAGACGATAAGCATAAGAAATTCGAAGTTTTGAGCCGTCCTAATCGTCGTGACAAAGAAGGGAGAGCAGAGCCGGCATACAATGATCCAAGGGAGATGATGCGCGAATTGGGCGCTATGGCTTGGCCTCACTGTTGCTCGCTCCGTTCCCATTGATCTCCTCCCGATGAGCGGCTGTCTCTTCCCGCGCCTGCTGAAGCCACAACTCCCGCTCCTTGAACTGTCCTGGAAGGAGGCCCCACATGTCGAACGGATCGATGATAGAGTACCAGAAGTTTCGCTTGGTCCTGAACCCCTGGCCTAGGATCTCCCCCACCCCATCAGTAGCAAGAAAAATATGGAGGTTCGAGGGAAGGTAGCGGCTTGGATGGCAGAGGTTCAGAAGCCAGGTGTTGATCACCATAAGGGTGGCTTCAAAGAACCAGAAGAACCATTCGCGCTTGAAGAGGGGCGGGAAGGTTGACGGGTCGGTATAGACGATCACAGAGTCTTCGAACCATTCGACCGTGCGATAGACCGTGCGGGTTGTTATAAGAAGGCAGGAGAGGTAAAGAACTCGAAGGACGTTCCGGAGCCTCTTCGGCAGCAGGCCGGCTCTGTGGCAGCGGTATTCGAAAGCCACGGCAAGAGTTATGAAACAAGCTTGGCATATTAGCTGAAGAATGAGAGCAGTCTTGAGCATGGCCTTCCCAACATTTTGCTGCTGTGCAGTGAGCGTTCCGTTCTGGACACGAGCACCCCCCGTGCCTAGTGCAACATTTGTCAGTGTTTGTGGCAGGCAGTCCTCCGCGGAATTCACCGTTCAGCGCTTCCACGACCATCTGAAGGAAGGAAAACGTCGTAACGACACGTCCAGGATGCATCGGCGCTTGATATGCGACTATAGCGATAGATGAGCAAGAGGGTATATGACTTGGACGGCCAGCCACTCCGTACCGTAGTATAGTATGCGGCCTAGTGTGAAAAAGTTGGCCGCCTCATAGAACGGTCTAGATCACGTTCAGCCTCAAAAGACGGTACAAAGAAATGAACAGCACGTACGGCGCAGAAAGCACCATCACTGTACTTGCAATGAAGACACTAAGACTCATTCATCAGCATCAGGTAAGTGATATTCAGTGTATCAGCCGGCGTACTTCAGGTTGTCATAGTGCCACGCCCCAATGGCTCTCAAAACAAAGCCCGCAACGAAAATGAGAGCAGCAACGGGAAGCATGGAGGTCGCCTTCCAACTTCTGAAGCGACTGTTCGAAGTCATGTCAGGACATTTCATCCAGCCTCAGCATCATTAAGCCACGTAACTAGCCTAAGAAATGGAGAGATCAGATAATGGTCTTCAAGATATTGGAGGTTTTCTCACATTGATAAAAGTGCCAAATACCGGAGACCGTAAAAAGAATCGAGAACACGATCGGCGCTGGTTTATTGGGTGCATAGTACCAGAAACTTCCCGGAGCTAGGCACGGAGAGAGAGTTATGAGTCTGTATTCTGGTCGACATGTAGTCGCGTACCATAGCCCTCGGGAAGAGAATAACCCGGTGATGACATCGCAAATCTCACGCAACTTCGAAGGTCGGTCCTTGTGCAGGAATATATCGTGATTAAAAGATCGTTTTCTTTTTTCCTTTCTTTAGACGGTAAAGCAGGAGAACAGAGATATTCGGGCAGCCACTTGCAAGGTAGGGTTGACTTTGGATATTAATAGACAAGTATTGTAGGTCGAGAGTACTGGTGGGCAGCGCGAAAGTAGGATTTCACGGTGATGGGGAAGGAAACTGTCGGCCATTGCGCCCTTTATGTAGGGCGAGAGTGAAAAGCACTGAGGTCCGCCACATCCCGAGAGTGTTGCCTGTTCTTGCAGTATCAGTTCTGTAGGTGCACACGGATAAATGGACACGGTGCTCACTCGAAGAGAGAACTCCCGAACTCTTGGCAGGGACCTGCCAAGCACTTCGTTCCTCCGATCCGTCCCTCATTCCCAAATCGGGCAACCGCTCGCTACACCACGGACATCCATTGGCGCAAGGCTTGCCCACTTTGTACGTCTTTATGTTCCGTTGTTCCAAGCGTAACTAACGTCACGAGACCAAGTCGTAAATGCATTGCTTTGCGCGGTCGGGTCAACATCAAGACACTGGAAGGGTCGTGACCGGTTGTCTGTAGCACATGGGCCCGAAGCATGGTGGGGACACTCTCAGGACCGGCCTTTTGTCGGAATAGCACAAAAAACGGTGCCCAGCCGCCGCGACATTCGGAAGGACTGCCTCTGGCCTAGTGAAAGAGAGTGAAAGAGGTTAGAGCCGGTTGCCGTTCCCATCGGGACCCTTTAGCGCCCGGCCGCATGTGCAGCTGCACTCGCATATTCTCACATTCAAACCGATTCAGATCTGAACCGGTGGAATAATACGATTGGTTTCAACCGCAATGTAACGTACAAACCGAAAACTAAACTGGGGGGGGGGTGAGCTCGAAACAGGAAATAATAAAGACGACACTCAACGGTGGGATGTCTGTTTCTGATTCGTGGTAAGATCATAAGCGTCCCCCTCCGGGTGTGCACTGTCGGACTTGGAAATAGTGCCTTATTCCGCCCCTTGAGCAGCTGTATCCTCTGCAGCCTGTTGTGCCCAAATATCTGTTGTTCTCTCACGCCGCGTAATAAGGCCCCAGACGTCGAAGGGATCGAAGATAGTGACTAGAATATTCCGTTTGTCTTCGAATCCTCGGCCTTCGATCTCCGTCACACCGTCCTGTGCTAGATATATTTTCAGATTGGAGGGCAAAAAGCGGCTCGGATGGAGGATATTGAGCATCCACGAGTTGATGACCATGAGAGTCGCCTCGAAGACCCAGAAGAACCATTCGTGCTTGAAGATAGGCGGGAAAGTATTCGGGTCAAGATAGTTTATCTCGGAATCTTGAAACCATTCGACCGTCCGATATATGGTGCGCGCCGTGATAAGTGCGCATGAAACGTAGAGAACGCGGAGGACGTCTCGGAGGTTCTTGGGAAGGAGACCGGCCTTGTGACACCGGTATTCAAATGTGCTGGCCAACGCCACAAAGCACCCCATGCACACAAGTTGAAGTATCAGCGCCGTCTTTAGCAATGCCTTGCCAATGTCTTGTTGTTGGGAATCCAGGGCGGAGTTCGCTACGCGCGACCCGCCGTTGCCTAGAAACGTCCGTGTCAGCACGTCCCTACATTCAGGTGAAAGTTGCGACCATTGAACGCCTCCACTATGGCCTGCAATCCGGCAAAGGTAGTAACGACTCGGCCAGGGTGCATGGGTGCATGGTAAGGCACTGTTAACAAAAAGTTAAAGGACGATCACCATGGCAGGTGAGTGCATTGCACCATAATATAGTATGCGACCCAACGTGAAGAAGTTGGCTGCTTCATAGATTGGACTGTTCCACGTATCGGCAAATAAAGATCCCAGTCCGCAGAGGTACTTACGGAGCGGCCAGGAGCATGACAGTACTCGCAATATAAATCTGTTTCGTACCATGAATCAACTAGAAATAAACACAGAATCATGGGCTAACCTTGAGATTATTATAGTACCAGGCACCAATTGCTCTGAGGACAAACCCGGCCACAAAGATGATGGCAGCTGATCCCAGGAATCCAGTAGCCTTCCAGCTGTGAAACCGGCTATCAAGGCGAGCAATAAGCCCGGAATCTCGCAAAGGCAATGAAAATGCCTACTGGCCTGGATATGGTCGTATGTCAATATGAAGTGACTGAGGAATCTGGGATGGAAATCATACATTGAACGATGTGCCACACACCCGTGCCCGTAAAGAGTATTGAAAACACTATTGGGGCGCCTTTTTTGGGTGCTAGAAAAAAATGATGAGCAATGGATGAAAACGAGGAGAGGCTACAACTTGCTTACCATAGTACCACCATGATCCCGGCGCTTATAGAGAATTGCATTTATCAGCGTCTATTCCGGTATGAGCGTCTAATTGGCTCACTGTAACCTTCCGGAAGCGTGTAATTGGAAGACATGATATCACAACGGGAGATTATCGTGTTGAGAATGTACGCAAACTAGGAATTGTCGAAATGCGCAAGCGAACCCGCCTTATCTGTGCAGCAAGTACTTAAGATGTGTCGCCTAAGAATACCATGCAAGATCAAGTGTATCAAAGAGCCCCATCATTCCGGGCCACAAAAATATTGACACCTGGATCTTCACCAGTTGAGCGTTGCGGGTTCTGCCGACGATACGGGAGTTGTTCAGGGAAAGGTGGAGAAGAAATTGTGTGAGAAGCATCCGAGAACGTTCTAATTTAGGAAAGCAGCAGAACCCTGAGCTCCGACCTGGGGCAGTGCAAATTGGCTGCTCAGTCTGTGACCGACACGCCATTTTCGTCTTCTCTTGACCCGCCGCCGGTCTTGCGATGAACCATTTTCAGTCACAGCCAAACGAAAAACAGTCCCGTGCATCGATGCGTGGACGAACTCCAAGCGGGTCCTGTATAATTGCGCACCCTTGACTTTCACTGAAGTCAAAAGAAACGTGACGTCAGAGCATCCAAGGGGACTTATAATTAGTTGTTATCGGAACGGGAACGAATGGATCGGCGCCGGCAAAAACCGTTCCCGTTCGATGGTTCGGGGCATTAATTCTGTTTCTTGAACTGCGCAGTCCCTCCGATGTTTTGGCTACACTGCCTTGTTCTATGCAAACCCTGAAGGATCGGCCCAACCTCTCCAGAGGCAAAGGATTTCAAGTGTAACGACATCGGATTAGGCACGAGGAATGTCTCAAGTATCTAGAAGACACGAAATCGATCGCTTTATTAAGTGGTAACGCCGGGACTGTAGAGAAAAAAAAGCCTGTCTAGTTCCCCTTGAGAGGAGTTATGCTGTCGGTAGTACGGATCTGATCCTTGTCCATCGCGCCGAGCTCCATATTATTTGCATTTGGCTGTTCTTTAGGCTGCTCTTCCCAGACAGTGGCGTTCCTGTGGCGGCCCTTGATGAGGCCATAGATATCGAACGGGTCAAGGATAGTGATGAAGAAGTTCCTCTTGTCTTGAAATCCCTGACCTTCAATCTCAGTCACGCCGTCCGGAGCGAGGTAGACCTTGAGGTTATGGGGAAGGAAACGGCTGGGATGGAAGATGTTGAGCATCCAGGTGTTCAGACACATCAACGTGGCTTCGAAGACCCAGAAGTACCATTCGTGTTTCAAGACATCCGGGAAGCTAGTCGGATCCGTGTAGCTGATCGTGGCGTCTTCGAAATATTCAACTGTTCGGTAAACAGTACGGGTGGTGATTAAAATACATGACACGTAGAGGACCCGAAGGACGTTTCGAAGGTTCTTCGGCAACAACCCAGCCTTGTAGCAGCGACGCTCGAAGACACCGGCCAGTAGCGCAAATGCCCCCATACACGCCAGTTGAAGAATAAGGGCGGCTTTAAGGATGGCCTTGCCGACGTTTTGCTCCTGAGGGCTGGCCGAGGAGTTTGCAACGCGGGAGCCACCATTTCCCTGTATTAAGTTCAGTTCAGACGTTGTCTGACGTTTGCGTAGAGCCGTTCACGCACGTTCAGGGCTTCCACCACAGCCTGTAAGACACCAAACGTGATAACGACACGACCCGGATGTATAGGCGAGTGGTAGGCTGGGGAGACGTTAATGTGGCTCCAAACGGCCAGTGAAGCGGCACTGACGAACGTAATACAGAATGCGACCAAGAGTAAAGAAGTTTGCGGCCTCGTAGATGGGACTATTTTGGCGCGTCAGTAACAACTTCAGAGACTGTGGTGATGGGCACGAACGGAGCACACAAGAGCATAACGGTGCTTGAGATGAAGAGTCTATAGAAGGAATGGTGAGCTTCGCACTTCACCCCTTGTAGTCACTGATAACTGACGGGAGATTGGTATAGTTCCATGCCCCAATAGCGCGTAGGATGAATCCCGCCACAAAGAGAAGTGCCGCCCACGGGAGGAAACCAGTTGCCCTCCAGCTGTGGAACCTGACGCATTGAACAATATGCCACACGCCGGAGATGGCGAAAAACAACGCGAATGCAATCGGCGCTCCTTTGTTCGGAGCGTAGTACCACCATGACCCTAGAGCTTTGAGACGACATAAGGTTTTAGTCTATTTTCATGAGGTGAACAACTTACCATAGCCGTCTGGTAAATCAGAGCCACTGCTGGACATTGTAGAGATCTGATAAGTTGGTTCAGGTCGTCGCTCGGCTTGTTTCTTGACTTGCTGTTATCCTGTCCGTGCCTCAGAGGTTTATGTACTCGAGTCCGATATCGTGGAAGGCGCCTAATCAGGAATGCAGGATAAAGGTGGCGACATCCGCATGGCGTTCGTTCACAGCTCCAGAAATACACCTTGCGGTCAGAGGGAAAAGAGAGCATCGCTTCGCGCAGGACTGCGGGCAGTGTGAGGTCATTCAAAGGTGATGAACAAGGGTCTGTAACCTTGCGACTCAAGCATTGCAACAAAATCCAAACTGTCGGCAGCCCGGAGCGGGGCCATTCAACGAACAGGGACCAGCCAGAAGCTCTTATCGGGGCGGTGCAAACGTGTGATCACGTGCTTTTCAAAGGTTGACTGCGCGCCCATGGGCGCTCCTTTACCCTCCCCAGGGTTCTATTCGACCCACATTCCTTGAAACAGACGTCATCCGTATCCGACTACCTTTCGAGGAGATCTCAGCTGGCGGTAGAACAGCGATCATGCGCTCAATCCTGTGTGAGAGACATGTGGAGTAGAAAGAAGCGAGCAGGTTGGGGCACTGCGGAGCCTGCCCACTGCGGAGCCTGCCTCAACCCCCAGAAGTAGACGATGTTGATTACGCCGACCTCGAGATTGAGAGCTACTGCATCGCATTTTTTACGGCATTGCACTCATGATGTTCGGCGGAATTTGCGTGACTATTCTCTCGGAAAGCTCCTGGTATTCCTTTCGGCTCCGAATGTAAGGGTTGACGAAGGACAAGCCATCTGCGTTACCTCGACTGCGCACAATTCTAGGGAACTCATTTGCACCGCTTTGTTACTTTCCACAAGCCCACCTTCCAAGACTTGGCGCAAGTATCGGTCGAAGTGTTGGCCGCGTTCACTGATTGACTTGGCATCTGCACATGCTCGCAAGATACCTCTCCTGCTTGCCCGCTCCCTTCCGACCGGCCCTCCCCTATTGCAGTGCCGCTCGAATGAATCAAATTTGCGAATTCTCATTGTCCAGGCATCGCTTTCTGAACAAGCAGTCGACAACCCCATATTCATTCGACCTGCGGCGCAGGAGGACTGCATCGCATGGCCTGGCTTAACAGAGTTTCTTGTGTGAGAACCGTAGGTTTTGCCAGCTTCTTGGCGATCCACAGGACGCTCCATGCAGGGTTACAACCGGTGAAGGGTCGTGTGCCTCAGGCAGGCCCGATTTCCACAATCAGGCTCTTCTGTCAAGACCCTTTGCACCATCAATTGGATCATGAGTCATTTCAGTAGTTATACAATAGCATACAAGTACATGATTCTCTAAATCAAACAGTTACACAAATACCTCGTGAATATAATATCCACCACTGCGCCGCAGGAGCAGTCCCAAAAAAACTCAGAAAAGCAGAAAGATTCTACCACATCTCTTTTCATTTAGGCCACTTGTCGTATCAGTTCATTCTGAACACGCCAGTTCCCCCACGAACCCACATCGATCTTTTTCTCGCTGGCAGAGTCGCTACTGCTGTCCGTCCGACTTGTTGTCGTGGTCAAGTTTCCCTTCGTGATCGCGTTATTCGGCTCTTCTTGCGCCCAGATGTTATGTTTCTGATCGCGATTCGTGAAGAGCCCATAGACATCGAACGGATCGATTAACTGCATCCACCATACGCGTGGATCCTTGCCCAAGCCACGACCCTCGATCTCGGTCACACCGTCTGGCGCGAGGTAGACCTTGTAGTTGGTCGGGAGGAGGCGTGTTGGGTGGAAAATATTGAGCAAGAAGCTATTGGTGAGCATGACAGATGCTTCGAACACCCAGAAGAATGCTTCTGTCCTGAGCACAGGAGGGAAGCTCGATGGATCGTTCGGATTGTGGTCGCCTGGCTCGAACCATTCGATTGTGCGATAGATCGTTCGCACGTGGATGAGCGCGCATGACAAGTACACCATTCGCAGCGAATTGCGGAGCTTGTCGGGCCAGATACCCGCCCTTCGGCAGTTGTATTCGAATCTCAGAGCGATGAGGATGAAACAGAGGGCGCTGAAGATTTGCATCATGAGCGAAGTCTGCATCAGGATATGGCCGATTCGTTGCTCTCCGGGGCCAGAATAGGGAGTAGTGGCTTTCGCAGCGCCATTGCCGTTGATTGATCTATCAACCAACTCAGTATTTTCTCTCGACAGTGCAGCAGAGGAGTCGCTTACTCTGTGAACGATTGGAACACTGCGAAAGTGAGCATGAATCTCCAGGGGTGCAGGGGCGCATGATAAGGCACATAGTACAGAAGCCTCCCCAAGATAAATAGGTTCGCGGTCTCGAACACGGGTCTACCTCGAATAAGCTGGAGCCAACTCCTGAAAGGCAAAGAAACGCACGGAGAGCAGAGCAAAATGATGTTGCTCGCCATATAGAAGCCGATTTCAGTGTAGTAGAATGCGGCTACTTCTCGCATGGAGTAGCCTATGACGAAGACGAAGCCGGCAATTGGAAACAGGCCGCTGGATTTCCAGCTTTTGAAGTGCCTATTCAAGCAGATGTGAGTGAAATGTTCTCTCACAGCGCCGGGGAATGACACACCAGTTTTGCCACAAATGCCAGCAGCCGGTGATGCAGAAGAGGACGGCAAATACAATCGGCGCGACTTTGTTCGGGGCATAGTACCACCAGGAGCCTTCCACTGTGAGTCGACGCGTTGTTCAGCCTACGATGGACATTTCGACGCGGCACACAAACATACCGAACCCAGCAGGGAGAGTGCTGTTGGAAGCCATGGTGCCTTTTGTGTGGGTCGTCGCTGGTCGTAGCAGGTACGTATCCTCAGAGAAGGATAGCAGAGACCGAGGTCAAGGGCGAAACCGTGGTTGTGGGCGGAAAAGTCGCAGCTGTGCCGACCTCAAGACGGTGAAAGGCTCAAATACTGGCAGTTAGACTGTGCACGGAATGTCTGCGGTGCGAGCACCACGAGTGACGGAAGTTCAGAAGTATTCAACCCTCTTTCCTTGATCCATGATGCCGACCGGAGCACGAGCATCTCTTGGTGCCATTTTCCCGCCGAGCATAGTGGATTTGCCCTAAATTGCATTCCCGCCTGGATGGAGGTACAGGGCTTGCTGCCGCATGGGTCCCCGCGCCCTCTATCAGTGACCCTTGGCAACACGTGCCGGTTTCCCTATCCGGCGGCACTGAGGAGCGGGGCGGTGCTGTGTCTTGCTTCCTCAGCCAATAAGAGTTGAGAAGCCTGCCAAACAAGCAGGGCGGGACTGGAAGAGCCCCTCCCGATATCAGAAAGCGTCGTCATCCTTGACTGCGCCGCAGGAGGTCACTAAACCAGTTGTGCCTTGTCAAGAAACTTTCGGCCATGTGGGCGCATCTATTGTTCGGGAATCGGCGCGCGAGTCAGGTGGATAACAGAGAATGTTAGCACTGGTTGGGCTAATTATAGTGGATGAATGATGGATGGGGTCCACGACTCGCCCCATCACATCATCCATGCTACCAGATTATCATCAAAATTAATGAATAGTCTATACATATCTTGTGATACAGAAGGCCCTACGCATGCCAGAAAAGCAGTAAGAGACGAGATATCTGGGAAAATAAGTCAAACTAAGCAAAGCTATTCTCTACATCTGCACTGTCTTCGCCTGTTTCCATCGCCGCAAAGTTGATGAACGCAGCTGGCCGATGCTGTTCACCCCAGAACGGTATGGGCGTATCCAACACCATTGTGTAGCTCATGGTCGGCGTCCAGATCTGCGTCAGGCCCGCGCCATAGTTCCATACCCGACCCTCCGGTACGATCGTCATACCCAGGATTCGGTCGGATAGTAGAAGCTGCACTCGCTCAGACATGCTTGGGTTGAACCCAGCCGGATTGAGGGTGTTGTCCGTGTTCTTCCTACCCCACTCGAAACCAGCCACGGTGAGAGCGTGCGCCGACAAGGAGACTGAGCCCGGCGTGAACGAGCACGTGAGGCAAATCGAGGTTGAGCCCCACTCAGGGTGATCAGCCATGATCTTTGCTTGTGTGGTCACATCCGTGGGAGGAAGTGTGGGCATTTCCTGACCCTGAGTCTTGATCCAGCCCAAGGGCTCGAGATCCTTGAGTAAGAACTCATCCTGCGGCATCTGCGATGGCAGCTCCACAGTGTTCATATTACCACGTTGAGGGATGAAGGCGATAGCGCGAATCTCCTTGACGTGCTTGTTGTCAGGCGGCGAACCACCATAGAGGAACGCAGCAACTTGAGTCTTCGTATCCGCGCTGATGACGAATGTCTTGAGAATGTTCTTAGGCAAGACGTAGGTGTATGATGCCGCATCGTCCTTGACGTCATCGTTCGAGACGTAAATGTGTTGCAGCCGAAGTGGCAGGTTGCTGGCCGAGATGGCCTTGCTGCGCCAGTCTGTCTTGCTGCTGAAGACTTGTTGCTCGTAGTTTGTGGTGGTGACAACTTGCAGCTCATCACCGTGAATGTTAGTGGTGCGAGTCTGAACAGCAGTCACCTGACTCTGAGCTTCTGTGGATTTCTCCAGCTCAGCCATCTGCTGGCGCTGGATGGACGGTGCTGCTATTTCCTGACCGAGAATAATGTCTCGAATTTCGCTGGTAGTCAGTGAGGCCACATTGACATTGTTCCGCTTGCCGAAGTCCTAGAAGAATGTTTAGAAAAACTCACAATGCAACGTATAAAGCGACTCACAGCAAGGATGAGATCCTTCATTGCTACTTCAACCTTCACCCATTCTTCGTCTGACAGGGTAGGCCACACGAAGTGCGGCTCCGTGATCGTATTTTTATCCGGACGTAGAATAACCTTAGCCTTCTCGTTATTGACATGCAACCCACGCAGCAACAGGATGAGACGAGAGAAAGCCGTGTAGCTCGAAATGGACTTCAACCAGTTGTCGTAAAGATTGAAGAGTACCATCTGGGGCTGGGTCGCCCGCAGAATAAGATCACCGAACTTCTCCATCTTCATGCATGCCTGGAAGGGCAATTGCAACTCGCTCCCCTTGATCACGATGTTGGGGAAATCGAGCAAGTGGACTTCCAAAGGATCCAACATGCCTTTACGAGTTACGATGACTTGTTTGGGCTGTTCTTCGACCGGGAGAGATCGTACCAAAGCTGCAACTTCTTCCGCCGTCTTCCATTTGGCCAGCTGGCCTAAACGTTTCTGTCCAGCCCAGACACTGGTGTGGATGATCTTCAAGAAAAGCTGGCCAGATCTGGGGTTGAAGATGAAGATGGCACCGTTGATTGGCTTGGTCGTCAGGTTACCTTCGAACGTCTTGTGGATGGTGACACGGTATACATTCGTGTCATCGACGAACCAAATAATTTGGTTAGAGAAGAGTTCTGAGTAGTTTTGACTGTTCAAGTACGGTTCCGTCGGCTCCGAAGAGTACAGCTGTAGACCCTTGCGAATACGCTCCCGCAACACGTGACAAGCAGGGTTGGCCTTCATGATCTTACCCATGGCCTGCTGGATAAGGGGTTTCATGCCTGGGAACCAGTTGCCGTACGCCGACCACATGTTGTAGGCTAGGTCCATGCCAATCATGACTCCGGTAGGGGAGGGATAGATGGACATCGAGTCAGACACGTAGTCAAGGAACTTGGCACGAGTATATCGTTCAATGTCGTGAGAATCGAAGTCGCCCCACCGCAGTTGTACATCGATCCAGTACTTGTTGCTGGTGGTGCCATCATATACATCTTTCGAGTCGGAGACAAGAGATGGTCTCGCGATATTCCACTTGTATGCAGAGAACAATAGAATGTCGGCACAGGAGGAGTTCATCTTGTAACTCTTGCGAGGATGGATGGTCTCTTTCTGCACTGTTTCAATTTGCAGAGCTTCCAACTCCTGATCGAAGACTTGACAAAGATCCATGACCACAGACTCATGAATCTTCTGCCACAAGTGAGCACGGAAGATCTGGATCAAACTGATCTTGAGAGTCGGAATTTTGCCGTGCATGAATATACCAGTCAAGTCGAGTTGAACTTGGAAACCAACGTAAACGTTCGCACGGTTGATTGTCGGACTCCACCACAGCGTAAAGCGACGGTTGGGAATTTGGTTCAAACCGGAGCGCTGCGCGTTGGTGAGCTTCTTGTAACGCATTGACTCCTCGAAGCCTGATGCTTTTTCCCAGAAGAGACCCTCCCAAGTCGGGAAGTACGTGCCCTTGAACAACGTGTGTTCCAAAATACCCTCAACACCACCGAGTGCAGCAATGACATCCACCCGGTAATTGTTGAGCTGCCAAAGCTTGCCATCATGCCGTTGAGACGTCCACCAGAAGGGGTTGTGTTTGAGAAGCTGATACTGCTTCCAATCTGTGCGTACGCGCCATCCCTTGTCATACGCAAGCGTGTGACGATCCTTCTGGAACAGCGTGTTGATACGGGGAATGCCTCTGTCCCAGCTGTCTTCCAAATCTTCAAGCGTCAGGCGACGGTTCTGCGCATTCGCCTCTTTCCGCTTCATAGAGTACTCGGACCAAACACGGGCGGAATCCAGGAACTCGGCCTCCCATGGCTGGAGGTATCGGTACAAGTTAGGAATTAACTGATCCTCTTCGTGCGTCATACCAGAACGGAAGTGGGAAATGGCGACGTCGGTCTGCTTTGCCCATCGGAGGTCACTCTGAGGAATAAGCACATGTCCCATAGACAGCATACCGAGCCCTCCAAGCTCCTTGGGGGTGTAGAAGACAACGGGAGGGAATCGTGACGGCATTTTGCTGTTCAACCCGATTTTGACACGCGTCTGAATCTTGTTCTCTGCCTTGACGAGGGCGTCCAGAAGCTCGTTAGTGTGGATGACGGCCTCACGATAGTAAGTCATCAAACCAATGATAGCGGTATTCCACTTGTTTACGATCTTCGAGAACGTTGTAGAACCGGAGCTCATCAAGACTTGCCGTATTCGGTTATTGAATTGTTGGATACCGTCGTCCGACACTCGTAAGAATGCTTGAGCGGTCCGCTCCTTCGTTGCTTCATTGGTCAGGTTCCATACACCATCCTTGAGCGAGAATTGTTCTCCGTTCACCGTCCGGATCTTGGGGAGAATGCGGACTTCGAATCCACACATAGAGAACAGCAATTGCGGGTTATCCTTCGAAAACACGCTCACGAACGTGTCCTCCCACTCAATTGTAGTCAATGAACGTGGAAGACTCTGTTTGACGTTCCAGAACACAGCACGGCCAAGGTTGACGTCGTGCTTAATCAGCCGCATACGACAATCGCGGGGCCAGCATCGCTTATTGTTGTAACCAATAACGTTGTTGTTCGTAGGATCGGGGTTTGCGCTCAGATACCGCTGGATCAAGTCACGAGCTTCTTCAGCAGTAAAGCGGAAGAGAACGTGGATCCTGTCGACATAGCGTGAGTACAGGCGTACCGGGTGACGGGTTTCGGTGGCGCGATCCTTGTATTGAAGGAAATTATTGGGCATTTGCGGAGGACCGGCCATCTCGGATGCACGCTGTAAGCCGAGAATAAGAAGATCCAGGACGAGGCCATAATATTGGAAGATGAAGGCAGAGAACTGCAGACCACGGATTAGGCCATAGGCATTGACATGTGCCATGTCTTTATAAGTCAGTGTCGTGTTGTTCTTCGCAGTGATATAGTCGGCCAGGTTGTGATCGAGGATCAGGCGGAGGAGTCGGTTGAGCAGGGTCAAATCGATCTTCTCGTACACCCGGGATAGGACGGTCTCCATCATGACATTGCACTCCCCCTCACTCGTCTCCCATATGTCTGTCAGATTGTTGATACCCTGGCACCACTTGTAAACCAGCAAGGGCGGTGGCTCGGTGTCCGCTGGCTTGATCCAAGCAGGGAAGAGACCACGTTTATCGGCTTCAAAGAAGAGGAATTGATCAAGGAAAGCATCGGTAATCTTCTCCACGGGCTCAATGTCGTAACACGGAATGAGCTTGTCATAAGTGTCGAAGAATTCGATACCAGTTTCCTTGAACGATCGTTGAGTCAGCAAGAGACGTTTGATTCGCGACAAGCACTCGTGGGGGTTGTCGTATGCTTGTTCGATCAGAGCAAGCTCCTCCCGCTGAGATTGATTGAGGCGACCCTTGACTGAATATGCTTCCTTTAGCTTCTCGAGAGCAAGCACAAGCAGCTTGGTGTCGTGCTTGTAAGAGAGTGGCGGGAACGGGATGGGAGCGAACTTGCGGGACTCGAGCCAATGAACCGTTGAGGTGTAGATGGCGACAGCCTCCTCCGCACTGATATAGGGACCGTCCTTCAGGTAGGCATGTTGGCGCTCCTGCTCAGCTTTCAAGTATAGGCGAGTTAAACGTCCAAGGTTTTTCTTTACCACAGCCTTGTCAACAGTGGCACCGCGACGGATGCGTTCACGGTTATAGTGTGCGACGGATACCCACCAGTCTGCTTTGCTCTTGATATACCGCAGGATGATATTCTCAATCGCAGTCGGCATGCCTGGAACCTTCCAGGGAATATTCGCCTTCCAGCAACGCCATGCCTCAGACAGATGCTGCAGAATGGTCTTCGCCTTGTTCTGTTTGATTGATTCTGGCATCATATCGAGGATATCGTGCATAACGGCGGCGCGTAGCTCAAGATCATAGTGCGACTCGACACGCTGCTTGGTTACAGTCTTTGCGATACCCTTGCTGTTACGACCTTCGAATTGTCGAGCTAGCAAGTTGCCAAGCCAACGTTCCAGAAGCGGCACAATGCCGCGCAAGAAGAAGAGCCACACGCGCCAGCCAGGTGCCCAAAAGCCACATCCAGGCCCCTTCCCCACCGGTCCGGTATTGAACCGATAGTATATCAGATGCTTCAGATCCTTGCACATCCGCACTTGTCGCATAAGCTGCATATACGTGGTCAGTACCAGTATTCAAATACAAACAACAGCACACTAACCTTATACTTGTAACGGTACATGCCCGTAAGCGCACCGATATGGGCGAAAATGTATTGAAGAGCATCGGCCAACTGGAAGGCGTCTACATTGCCAAGACGATACTGGACATGTGCATCGACGATCAGCTTTGTCAACCGCAAAATTTCACGACACAAGTGGAAGGCATTGCCGAAACGCGACTTCTTTCGTTCCTTGGTCGTCAATGTCTTGACGGGCTTTAGATTCATGTTATAGTCCAAGTGCAAATAGTTCAGGTTCTGCTAGGGACATCAGCGCGGTGCTCAATGTCAACAACAATGTGCGTACCTTGCGGTGGATCAACAGGTTCAGCATGTTGTATCCTTGTCTGCATACTTGCAACCCGACCTCTACCCAATCCAAGCTCGTCGTCTGGAAGAACTTTGTCGCTTTCAAGCTCCGGAACAAGCTCTTCTTGGTCATCGCCTTTGGAGGACGGTGGTGGAGCTCATTGAGCACGTAGCATTTCAAGAGCTTCTGGTACGACACGCGAACTTTGACAGGTTGGTTGGGTGGGCAATGCTCGAGATACCAATTTTTGACCAATGGTACATCTTCCGCCCTTCGCATGTGTCCGCTGCGACGGTTGTACGGTTCTGGTGCCCACCAAAGTGCGATACCATCTGCGGTGTGGTCATTTTCAACTTCTTTTTCAGCCATGAACGGCTCGACTTCATCGGGAAGTTCGAAGTCGTCTTCATCTTCGTCATTCGGCCCAAAGATCGCATCTTCATGGGAGATCAGGCCAACATTTGACGACGCAACGACGCGGGAAGAGATCGGGTTGATAAGTGGATCGAAGTAGAATGCGGGCAAATCAGGGTCGTCGGTGCGAATATACACGCTCTTTGGTACATGGTGAGGGCTGATCCGCACGGACCGCGGAAGGGCATTGTACAGGTGAGGGAATGCCACCTTGTACTCTGTTCGAATCTGCTGGCGTATGATGATTTTGTTGATATCGTTGAACTCGTTCCAGTCTTCGTCGAACGAGTCCATATCACGATACAACGGCTCGAATTTGGGACCACCAGGGATGGCCATGTTGAGCGCCTTAGCGGTGAAGAACGATTTCTTGTCGAAAAGATAGAATACATTGTTGTCGGTGTAGTCGGAGAGCAGGGTACGACCAAAACGATACAGCGTTGACATCATGGGCAGAGGGAGTGACCAGTACTTGTAGGAGGAACCATTGACGTACTTCGTGTCGACAAGTGGCTTCGAGTCATAGAACCACTCTTCAATGGCGCTATCTTCCTCCGGATCAAGCTCCAGCTGGATAGCTTCCAACGGTTCTACGTCCAGTACATTGTCGCCGTAATCCAATGGGGGCTCCTCGTCGTCGAAGGGGGGGAAACGCATCCGCTTGAAATGGCGACGATCTCGCTTTTCACGACGCATTGCTATCCACATTGTGCTCCACTGTGCATGATACACAGGTTCGATAACTCTGGGGATCTCGTTGACGAACGTAATAGCGCCGGTAATGTGGTACAGGACCGGCACTTCTCTTACTTGCTGTAAAGCACGAAGCCGTGTCAGTTAACCTTAATCACTATGAAAACGCGCCAACTCACCTCCCAAGGGAATGGCATATTCTCCAAGAGCTTCAGTACAGCGTGCGGCACGTACTTGAGCGCTCCGAGATGGACACGCTTATCATTACGAAACTTGCGATTCGACATGTCGCCATGATCCTTGATGATCTTCCGGACATGCTCGGGTGGTAAATCCTGGTTAAAGATGAACTTCCTTCCTCTTATCTGGGATATACACTCACCTGCTTGCCAGGATCCACGAACCCACCCTTACGCTTCTCTCCATACCGCCTATTCTGCATCTGTACCCATTTCTGACTCTTTTGCTGCAACGCCTCCGGTGACAACCGACTCGCCCCAGCAACAGCTCCATTAGGCGCTACAGAGCCCGACGGCATCCCAGGAGGTGGGGCAATAAAGCCCGGCGGTGGGGCCGGGATAAACGACATTTTGCTACAGTCGACGCGTTGTCGTCGTCGTCGTCGCTGAAGGAGGTGGACGAGAACGACAATCGTTGGCGCTGGACTTTACTTTAGATCCCGCCAGGCAATTTTGATGCCGCTGGCGCGAGATGAGTCGCCACTTTATGTCCTGCGAGGGAGAAAATATCACGTGATTTTACGGAACCGAGGCTCCGGGACGATTCCGACAAACAGAAGATTGTCACTCGGACATGTGTTCTGTTTAAAACAGGCCGGATTACTACTAGTCAGATACCACTCCTTTTGGGGAACATATATCTATATTATGTGTGCTACGCCCTGGCAATCGATCCTGGTAGGGTGAACTTAGAGTCTGCATGCTGTCTCCAAGAAACGCGTGCACATGCATCAAGGCAGCAGCCTCCATCCAGCTATCGTGCCAAGCACGATAATACTAGTGCATCCAATTAGCCAACGCGCACCATCCAGTACTCTGAACGAAGTAGCGTGAAAAGCGAATGGCCACCCTGGGCGACTCAGGCGCGGACAGGCGACAGGCCCGAGGTCTTGCATCCGCTTTTCACAACACTTCAACAGCTCCTCAGGGATCGGTCCGTAGTATAAGAGTTGGGAGCATTCGCCTCTAGAGATGAGCTACGAAGGAAGGCAAGCAAGTGATACCTTGCAATACAACATACATGTAGAGCGCTTCTTTGCTCGATGTACCCTGAGGTAGACGCTTGCTAGCTAACCCCCGTGCTGAACCAGGCCGGGAACGAGAGGGCAAACAAACGAACTGGAAAGTCCCGTCAGGAGTGTTACTTCCCGAGCACAGGAGAATCGCTTGTTTTCCACACCTGTTCCGAGCACCCCTGGGTGATGTACATATGCCTGAGTGTCCTGCTCACAGTCCGAGGGCGGGAGGAAGAGTCTATCAGAGAGCAGAACGACAAGAGAGGACGAGGGGGAGGTTTCGTTGTGTTACAGGAGCCTCCGTGCCAAAACACACGGATATGCTGGATAGAGGACTCTCGTGCGAGATCCAGGCAGGAGAGAGAGAGGGAAACCAAGCGCCCACAGTGCGGAATGCCCCAGGACTGTGTCTGTCCGCAATCCGAGCAGGACACTTGGTTTCCCTACACGCTCCGTGCTGCCACTGGGTGTGGTCGGATGTTGAGAGCGGTAGTCACACCCTGACAGGGAGAGGAGACTCAAAGAGGAGCGACAAGAAAACGCAAGCAAACGGACTTCCGATGCCGGACAGAGCCGCCGCTTTGGGTACCACAAGTCGCTTCCAGACCGATCGCTTCCTGGATCGATCGCGAGCAAGAGAGGAACTGGGCGACTGATCCGACACTCAAGACGCGTACCAGTTGTGCACGTTCAGAATGGGATAACATCCCAGTTTTTGGACTGCTCGCAAGGCTCCATGCAGGAAGAGTCGGGGAAAGAAGCCATACCGGGGCAGGCAGCAAAGGCGATCCATCTAAAAAATAGGAGCAACAAACTCCAGGCCAGGCTGCCGACGTTGCAAACCAAACTCGCACCAAGATCTCCTATTGTCGTAGAGCAAGCAAAGAACATGAGCAACCCTCTTGCCAGCTCCTTCAAGGTTGATAACCATGGAGCCAGCAAGAGGGTTGCTGATGATTCCCGCACTTGGAAAGCAGTCATCAGATTGGGAAACGAGCGAAATCGACGGAGTCCGCCTGAGGACTAAGCGTCCGTCCACATCAAGCTCTGCTTGGTACCTCCCGTCTGATCCCGCCCGCTAGTGCCGTATCATGCTCCCCAAGAGCACAGACAGGATGTCGAGGGTGGAAAGAGCACCAAGAAAAGGCGAACAAGGGTCAAGCAGAAAGCTGCTAGGGAGGCGACCCTCCCAGCCGGCCATGATCCACTTGTTGGCCGATCCCCAAGCTCATAGAAAAAAAATCTCAGGAGCTAGTGGGAAGCGAGGAGGTAAAACTCCTGAAGACAGGCTGAGGATAGCCAACTTCGAGGATCACGACCTCGCTTCGCCAAAAACTGCCGAAAGAAATCGAACAAGAACGGCCTGCACTTCCAGGTAAGAGCCGATGCAAAAAAATCAGGACGGATCGAGCAGGGATGAACAACTCGGGCATCAATGTAAGATAGCGGCCTACTGGTGAGGGAGGAAAGGAAAGTACTTGACCAGCAGTTCGCGCGAAGGGCAGCATGACGAGGAAACCAGCAAAGGTGGCTTGCCAACTGAGGGCTACAACCCCAGGTCAGAAAATCACCCCGGATACCGAGGTCGCGGCTCTTGACAGCTATGCTGGTAAAGCCAGAGGGCGGATGGAGGGCGGACGATAGACAGTCGTGTGTGACAGGCTACTGGCATCCTCAGGTAGATGACGTCAACTTGTCAACAATGGCTGTTGGCCGAGTCTTGGTCTTGTAGGATGAAAAGGAGGCGCATATATCGTGTATGTGAGACTGGGCGGGGGACCGTGCTTTGGTTCACCGAAGGAGGTGAGCAGAAGCGTGTGCATGGAAGGGAGATGAAGGAAGGAACGCTGGTAAGGGAAACGCGAAACTGGGGAGAGGAAGGAGAAAGGGGGGATGGTGGTGGTACGAAATAACAACAGTAACGCACTTGCTCTGGGATCGAGCTAGTTTTTATACCCAACCCAGAAGGGTGGAAGTAACACACACGCAGTCACGTGATCCGCGAAAAAGACCCCCAAAATGCTCTCCTTCATCGGTGTTCTAAATCTGGTTCCATTGCAGCGGGAGCAAGTTAGTGGTGATGGATATGGACGGCCAAACAAGGGAAGTATTTTCTGGTGACTTGCCTTGGCAGGCAAATTCGATGGATATGTCCCAGATGGTCGCCGTCTCTGTAGGCTACGGTATTGACGGCCGGCGTAGGTGGGATGTTGGGTGTATGTAATATTATGCGTTAGCCCATTTGGAGAGGATGTAAGGAAAGGAAGAGAATGTTCACGTATTTATTACGCGCGCACTTTGTGGTCCCAAGTCCGTTCTTTACGGTGGTGCGGTGCAGTGTGGGTGTGTGGTGAGAGTGAGAATTGGGTCCGGTGGAGTGTTGCGTCAAAGGGCCGTGTCCGCCCGTCTCTCTTTTCCCTCATCACGGCTCTGATCTTTTTGCTGTGTTTGTGAGGAGAAAAGAAGAAAAGAGAGAGAGACGAAGAAGAAGAGGAGCGCTATCATCGGGGCGTGCCATCACCTACTCACTCGTTCACCCTTTACACACGCTGTCTCACTCTATCCTCCCCTCACTCACCTCGCATCGCTCCTCGCTTCTCACTTCGCTTCCCTCCCATCACCCTCATCTCACCATCACCCTCTCTCCTCACCTCCCTCTCCGTCGACAACGACCAACCATGGCACGTCCATCCCGCTCACAACCACCACCACCGCCTCTTCCACAACAACACCCAACCTACAGCACCGTACCCCAATCACCAACCTACACCCCTCCAGCCCAATCAACCTCCTACTCACGCCCTCCCTTCTCTCCTCCTGCAGATCTACCACCACCTCAGTTCCCGAGAGAAAGGCGAGACTCACAGTCAGCAAGCAGTAGCATACACATGGCTCCCCTCCCAGGGAGCAGAGACTATCTCCCCAACACTGCTACCGTAGGCCGAGGAGGCGTCTATGCACGTCCCGATATGGGCGAGGGGAGGGAGACAACCACACAGGGTGTGCTCACGGGTGCTATCGGTGGAGGTTTTGGACCGTATGCGGTACGTCTGCTCCTTATCATGTCGATCAACTCTAATATTAGCACAGTACGGTCAAGGCGCGCCCTACGCTTCAAACCAACCACCCCTAAACGCCCTCCCGATGGGGACGCGCGACTCTTACAGAGACAGCATGTACACCCTCCCCAACTCTCCCTACCCACAATACGCCGCTGCTGCCGGCGCACGAGGCTCCTTCGCTCCCTCCGAATCCGGGTACTCCGTTCTCTCATCAGACAAGGCCCTCCCCACCCCAGGTCAAGAACGCGGTATGCAAACAACCGTCGCCCCCGCGCCTATGTACCTCTGGGACGCGAAAGACCCAGATCTAGACGACGCGCTACACAATCCTGATCCGGAGATGGACAAACGCCTAGATCGACGATGGACGATCGCCTCCCTCCGCGGGTGGGTGAACATGACCATGTTACTCGTGCTCATCCTCGCCCTCCTCATGCTATTCATCGGCTACCCAGCGATATACTTCTTCTCCCAGCCCAAGATCGTACGCTCGGGGTTTAACCTGGGCGGGATAAACAGCACTGGTCAGGTACCGGATATTCCCGGGACCTGGCAGATGATCGATCCTTCCACTCCGAGCAGCGCGATGCAACACACTGGGTTCGATGGACAGCAATACGATCTCGTCTTCTCGGACGAGTTTGAGGTCGACGGGCGTACGTTCTACCCAGGGGACGACCCGTACTGGGAAGCGGTGAACCTTAATTACTGGGCGACGGTGGATTATGAGTGGTACGACCCCAGCGCGATCACGACCAAAGACGGGAAATTGGTGATCACCATGACCGAGGAGTTGATACATAATTTGAACTGGAAGAGCGGGATGCTTCAGAGCTGGAACAAGTTTTGCTTCACGACGGGATATGTTGAGGGTAAGTCCGAGTATTCGTGGGCAGAATGAGAACTGACGGTACCCGTAGTCATGGTATCCCTCCCCGGCTCGGGGGACGTACCGGGCTTCTGGCCAGGTGTGTGGATGATGGGCAACCTCGGTCGAGCAGGGTACGGCGCGTCCACGGAAGGCGTGTGGCCCTACACCTACGCAGCGTGCGACCTGGGCACCTACCCGAACCAGACTACCAAAGGGGGCGAACCGGCGATCACGAAGACCGACGGGGACCAATATAATGGCAACTACCTCTCCTTCCTCCCTGGGCAGAAACTCTCTGCCTGCACCTGCCCCGGCTCTGACCACCCAGGACCATCAGTCACCACCGGCCGCGGAGCACCAGAAATCGACATCCTCGAAGCTCAGGTCAACGTCTGGGAAAACCAGGGCTCCGTGTCCCAGTCCTACCAGGTCGCGCCGTTCAACGACTTCTACCAGTTTGACAACACCACCACGACGCTGTACAACAGTGCGCCTACGACGGTGTACAACGGGTACAGGGGGGGCGTGTACCAGCAGAGCGTGTCCGCGGTCACGCTCGTCAGTAACGCCAACTACAACAATAACCAGTACGGAGTGTTCGGCGTTGAGTTCTGGAGCAATCCGAGCAATAGAGGAGAGGGGTATGTAACCTGGGTCGCCGATGGACGGAGGACGTTCAACATGCCTGCTTCTGCTGTCGGCGCTGACCCGATTAGCGAAGTCTCCGAGCGGCTAGTGAGCGAGGAGCCTATGGTGCGTATCTCTCCCCTTTCCAAGTGCGGCAATCAGCTAACCCATTCCCAGAGCATGGTCATCAACTTTGGGATGTCCTCCGGTTTCCAAGGGCAAGATTTCACCCGGCTTCAATTCCCAGCGACGTTCTACGTCGAGTATATCCGCGTCTACCAACGAACTTCCGTCTCCGGCAACCCGGACTACCAGTCCTGTGACCCAGCTGCACACCCGACGCTGAACTATATCAACAGCCACTTGAACGCATACATGAACCCGAACTTGACGACGTGGGACGCGGCGGGGTACACTTTCCCCAGGAACAGCCAATTTGATGGCTGTTGAGCCTTACCTGCGCTGCCCCTCCAGGCACTGGAAGAGGCGCTGTACATCCCCCCCACCCCCCTTCGACTGTATTCTCCTCGCACGTCACTCACGGTCACTCATGTCTAAATCTCGTGGTTTCACTTCAGTCTCTCTCACAACCTCGCATACCGCCCTCTCACCCTCTCGCTCCCCAACCCTAGAGCTCAAGCCTGCCCTGAAGCAGTATATTCCCCGCGCACGCACCGCAACCGACGCCCTCCCTGTCACGCACAACGTACCCCTTGCCAGCAACCCCGCGCCCGCGCACCCTGACGACCGCGACCCTGCCTCTGTTTGGCCCTCGTTTCCCCCGGCCGATGTCCGATCCGCTCGGAGCGGCATGTCCAGGCGGCAGTTCAGCCCAAAGGTTATCCCGTTCCGGACTTGGCAGGTCGTTTGCCCATCTCGTACGGGTGGTTGTTGTCCTGCTTGCTGGCACTCTCTTCCCCTGTCTCTGTCTTGTTCCTCACCGTTGCACCACGTGACGTCCCCCTGGGCTGGGCTGTCTGATCTTTCCCTGACTTACGCACGGACAACACGGACACTACCTACCTAGGCTACCAATCTCTCCTTTTCGCTAAATGCAAAACCTCCGTGGCTGCCCAGACTTCGCCTACTAGCTCGTTAATTAACGTCCTCTTTCAACCGCTTGTATTCCTCTTTACCTTTCCCCCAACCCTTTTTATTATTCACTCATTCCCTTCTTTCTCGTCGTTTTCCACCCTTTTTTATCCCCTCTCGTCCAGCAGCCTAGCGCCTAGCACTGACCTCGCCGCTACTAGTCGGCCAGAGTCCGCTCGCTGCTGCCGGGAGAGATAGCAAGCCAAGTTTTCAAGTTTAACTACAAGCAATTTTTTTTCCTTTTTTATCATGGATCATTATGTGGATCATACGCATATACCCCATCGTCTACCATGTGTGTGTTTCGGTGGCTCATCCGTGTGTTTGGGTGTCGTATCGATCAGGGATAGCTGATCGATCACAGAACGAAAGTGAGGGAAGATCGTAGTCACGTGACCTGTCAAACCAGGAACAGTCACTGGCGCAGTAGACACGTTATTTCAGACCCAAACATTCCAAGCGCGTCTTTCGCTCGCCACGTACTTTTCGGGATAACATATGGCAGTGCTCACCAGGAAACGTACTCGAGAGGATGAACCGGTTGTCGAGGTCGAAGCAGGGGCATCACTCAAGCGCCCAAAACGCATCGTCCCTACCGATTCCTACGATGCTGTAGTACCTGCTATCCCGATCGAACCGACTGGCGTGCCTGATTCATCCACGATGTCGCCCGGAACGACGATGAAAGTCCTCTGCCTCCTTCGCGCCGTCAACGTCTCCGGCTCCAATCCATGCAACATGAAGCGTCTTGTGCAACTTGCGAGCTCAGACTTGGGATGGACGAACATCAAGACATATCTCCAGAGCGGCAACCTCGTTGCAGATGTGCCTTCCGATCTCAGTATGTTGGATGTCTCTGAGAGACTTCGACAGCTACTGGCGAGCAGCATGAAAGTGCACTGTGCGGTCATCACTCGCACCCTGGCAGAACTGGAGGACCTGATCTCTTCGTGTCCGTACGACACTTCGGATCTAACCAAAGTACATGGGTTCTTTCTTGATTCAGTCCCGAGTCCAGAAGCGTTAGACGCTCTGGAACTGAAATCCAAGAAAGACGATCGGTACACGTGGGACTCCGGTACGCAGCTGTACCTCCATTACCCGAACGGCGCAGGCCGGGCAGTTCTGAACAGTTCTATGCTGGAAAGGAGTTTGGGGATCCAGGGCACGAGTCGGAACTGGAGAAGTGTATTGGCGGTTCGTGCTCTCATGAAGAATTAGCGGGTTAGGGTTAGAGAAGTTCATCTTATACTCTGGCGGCGGCCTGCCGGTGACACACAGGATACGTACGGTGCACTGTCAGGTTGAAGACAGGGGCTTGCTGAATACACAACTTCTTGCTGCGATATGTGGGGACCCTTCCTAAGTTCTTTGATGGCCTGCGTTTCCTTTGCCGTCCTGATGCATTACACAACTTATCAGATCAATATCACCCTACCAGGAATTACGCGTCTTCCCTCCCGCGCTATCCACGACCCGAAAGGGACACGTATACGTATGCATCCAGTCACATCGGAAAACCCTTCCTCAACCGCGTGTCGGAAGCCACATATACTGCAGCGGTCAAATGAAAATAGGGGCAAGCCCACTGGCAAGAATACCAAGCCGGATTTCCTCAAGTACAGCCCATCATCAGTCCGAACATTGCAGGAAAGTACTTACGGGTAGCCCCCAATATTCCGGCACGAGGTCGAGATGCATGTGTCACCATGCCAGACGTGAGGCAGGATGATAAAAACACTCCAGTTTAACCAGCCAGCCCCGTAGTTCCCTGCCCAGTCTCCCCTTGACAAGATATCTCGGCTCTGTGACTACCAACCATTCGCTAATGTGTGTATGACCCACAGCTGGGCTCAGCTCCAAGCGATATGGGGTTCCTCAAGCATGTGGGCACCGAAGACAGACGAGCTCATCTTTCTTTGTCATTGTGTCCGGCCCGCCGCCGTCGGCCACACAGATCCCTCTCGTTGGTTTGGTCGATACTCAGCCACACAGCTGGCTGCCTCAAAGGCAACACCTTCGGTCGGCCAGTTCGAATCGAGCGTGCCCAAGATCGCTCAAGCTGAGGAGACCATCCAACAAGCGCACTGGATCTTGCATCGGTGGTGATGCCCCGCATGAGACTGTCAACCCAGCGGTCACTTCCGATGAGGGTCGGACCGTGGCTGTCACCAAGATAGCAAAAAGCTTGTCCCGCACATTTGACAATAACGAGGCACTGTCCGCCTCGACAGCAACTCCTCCGGACGGCCAGTCCGAGCCGAACAGGCGCAGTGCTAAGAATATCGCTCGGCTTCTCCTTCTGGTCAAATGTGGTCGACAGGTTGTTGGCTACCTTGGTGACATTCTCGGTGCCAGGAGTGAGCTCGCGCTTCAGATCCTCACGCGGGGCCTCACTGCCGATTTGAGACGTTTCCTGAATGGCTTCCGTAGCCTACGCTCCGCAGCTGCTCTCCTGCATAAGACCGAGGAGGCAATTGAGAGGCTGCAACGCCTTAACATCCGGAGAAGTGGAAAGGAGAATGGGAGCGGACAAGCAGCAAGTCTGCTTGTACCCAAAATTCTGATGCACTTCTCGAGAATGTCAAGCTTTTTGAGCGCCATTTCAAGTACACAAAGTACCGGCTGGAGAGGATGGACAGCTTGCTGAAAAAAGAGCAACGCAGGAGGAACAATGCACAAGAGCGAGTTGAGATCCCCGAGCATGCCGAATATGTTTTTCATTCTTCTCCTTGAACGTCCATAGAGTCCAGTCTGCGTATGCAATGTCGCGGTGGTGGTGGTGGTGATGGCACAGGCAGTGCCACGTCACTTCTTATCACCCGGCATCGGGCAGCATCGGCCCGATGCGCCGTTTAAGCGTTCATTTTCTCTGCGCACTAGCGCCCACAGAGTGCTCTTCACAATAAGAGCACCAAATCAACCTGAATTCCTATGCCTAACAAACTTGAGGAACTCCCCACATCTGTACCGGCCCTCGCTTCAACACCGCGGGTCATCCTTCACCGTCAACTATCTCCCTTTCCCCGTCACTTTAATCTGACGCGGAGCAGGGCACATACTACCTGTCCTGATATCCACATGGACACTATCAATTATTCTCTTGCACGAACTCTACATGAGTGGGAGATGGAGCAGTTGGACAGGCGGATTAGGTGTGTGTTTTTGTTGATTTGTGCGCTGGAAGTTACTGACCCTATCCTCTAGTGGTCCTTGCAGCGTTCTGCAATATCGCTGGTCTTGTTTTCTCCTTCGCCTTCAGTTACAAGCATCGGTAAGCCTGTTGCTTTGAGTGCTCGCTGACATGTACTAACCCATTGTTTCCCTCGTTCGCAGATTACAAGTCGCAGCGGGGGAGAAACGCGCAACAGATCGCGTAGAACTCTTAACGGTGTCCCTCTGCTCCCTTCTGAGCGGGGTATGGTGGAGTACGTCCCACATCTCTATCCAGTCTTTCCACATGTACTGAAACTCCAAACCCAGTCGCATTTGCTAGCACGAAGTTCATCGAGTCCGCATGTTTGTCTGAACCACCCCGTGGGGCCTGGCTCTCCCAGCTCCGGGAATTGGCGCAGCTTCCATGGGGTCTGATTTTTGACCGGGTTGCCGGATGGCTTTCAGGGGAGGACATTGGCCTCGAGGATGCATGTCGCGTTCCAATTCTCACGCTGCGCCTCTCCTGGGTCAACGCGGTTACCTGTACGTAGCTTGCACCATTGTTCTCAGTGGTGACTCACTCACGTTGCGATAGTATGGCTGAGCAACCTCATTGTAACGGTTCAAGTTTTCCGTCGTCAGGCTGTTAGGGCATGATATGGGTACAAACGGGTGGATTCGGATGCGACATGATGGATGTGTTGGTGTATGTGCACACCGGTGGCAATGAATCGTATCTGACTTCCGTATTTCATCAGAGTGCCTGTAATTGTTTACCAAGATGTGTGATTGACACCAAACATGCACTGTGATATCTCTCACATGCAGCACGATGTGTAGCATACAGGTGAAGAAGGCTCTGGAAATTGTACTTAGTACCTGCACAGACGCTCTGTATGCGAGATACGATAGCAATCTGCACAGTGTAGATGTACGTTACCGGAGGCCTATGCTTGATTCACAGAGCAATATAGCAACGTGTACAGCGGCATTTACGGCTCACACGCAGGCCGTTTCCACTGACGATAACCGCAACAGGTTGCGCGACCAGATCAACGCCGCACTGAGCTGTCCGTAGGTCTATCAACACTTCTCAACGATTATTGAACTTTACTCCTCAGGTAGGAAAGACTTTTATTGACTACACAAACAGTTTGAACTGAACTAGTTGCACGTCAACAGCTAACAACGATCTTGGCCATGTCGCCCGAGCTTCCCCCTCCTAGATAGAATCCTATCACGCTTCCATTGCAGAGGCATGGCGTCTCCGAACATGACTCGCCACACCGGACAGAACACTGAACACCGCTGTGCCCATCATCATCCCACCAACAAAAAGGGTGACCTTACCAAATCCGTGGCTTCCAAACTTGGATATCATTCCTGCATTGCTAGGATCGAAGAGTGAAGCGGCGATCACGGGTCCAACAATGGCTGCCACGCCCTTGACTGCCGCGAATGAGCCAAAGATTGCACTAGATGTCGGTGATGAAGGGCCGACGATGTCGATTGTCACGGGCGATACGATCGAGTTGAAGCCTCCAGCCATGGTGCCAAAAATCACGACGAACACGAAGACCAACCCAAGATTATTGGCGAAACCCCAGACCAAATAGGCTGCAAAGGCGGATCCTAGGGCAGAAAACGTCATAACTCGCGAGTAGGGCATCCGGTCGCACATCCACCCAATGAGTACTTGCCCAATGACACAAAACACGTTGAATACCGAGAGAACGAGTTGACCATCCAGCGGTGAAACTCCCAGCAAATTTGTGTACGTTGGTATGTACAAGTTGACGGGGAAGTACGCAAGGGATTGGACGAGGATCGTCAGGCCCTTCCAATTGTCAGCCACAAGGCACGCCTTGTTGAGATAAACCTACGTACGACCGTAGCAAAAATAGGACTCTTTAGATACGAGAGATCGATTGGTGCACTCCTTGCCTGCCTGACCGTAATGAGTGGTAATCGGGGCTTCATGAACAAAATCGCGATCGCGGTGAATACGGCGAAGGCGAGCGCCCAAAGCCGCAGGGTCCATCGGAAGCCGACTCGTTCCAGAAGCAAGCCGACTAGAGGGGGAAATGCAGCACCGCCAATTCCGGTGCCGCTCTGTATGATCCCGCCGGCAAGACCACGTCGCTCTACGAACCACTCATAGAGCTACAAACGGCACATCCAGTCAGGGAAGATATGGGAGATCACAAGATCACGACTTACCCACAGAAACACAGGCGTGTACAAGATCCCACATGAGATCCCGACGAGTACGCCTTGAAGGATGATCAACTGCCAAACAGCAGTAGCAAAACTCGACAACAAGAAACTTCCGGTCCCGAGAAGCAGAGCTCCCCATTGCATAGGACGAATCCATCTAGGATGACGTCCCATGAACGCGGGCATGAACATTCCAGACATGTACGGGATAGCCAGGCTAGTGGTGCCAATCGCGGAGAGGGTGGATAAGGACGCGCCTCGAAAGGGTGAGTCAGGTGACGAGGCATAGTAGGTCTGGAAAATGCCATATCTGACATTGAGATGATGAGCGTTTAGGTTCGGGAGAGAAATAGAGGACAAACATGAACGCAAATCCCCAGACGAATGTTTCCATGAGGAAGGCTGAAAAGACAAAAAGCCAGGCATCGCGCCCTCTGTCGACAGGCGCTAGATCCGAAGCCAAGGTCTCCTGCACGGACTGGACCACTTCTGTAGTTGGAGTTGTTGGCAGGCCTTCATCCTTGAGCGGAGGAATGTTCTGAAGTTCGATGTTTTCTGACATCCTACAAGCTGACGTCCTACAGGAAAGAACGGAAGATAGAACTCGGGCCCGACCGTGTGCATCTTGTCCACGTTTATCGAAAATTATGGGCAGCTGACTGAATCTGGCCGAACTCCTCGGTCATATTTTGGGGTAATGTGGCTGTGCATTGTAAGTATTTATACCCAAAATATTGTGGCCATATTGCGATGTACGATTGCCAACGGGGTATTGTCCCCAACCAATGCAGAAAGGTTGCGCCAAACCTGGTATTTACATAAGTCCCCCGAGAGAGAGGTCGCATCTATACCACAATGTATTGGCCTTCACATCTTCTACCGGTTTCCTTCATCGGGCCGTGCCAGGGTCTTAATAGCCCCGGGCATTCGCTCCGAAAGCCGAAAGACAAGCGCCCTGTATCCAACTTGATCCGGATGTCCATTCCTGCCTTCTTACAGCCAACAATAGATCCTTATGCACCTGCAATACGGATTAACTAGAATATCTCCTCTCAGAGACAGACATACGTTGGGAGGGAGTCCTAGTCTTGAGGCACCCAGATTGCGACCATCTTGCCCATGAATCCCTTCAAAGTTGTATTCACATTAGGCCTGGCCGAAATGCTCAGACGGAGTGCCTCTGGGATTTCTCGACGAAGAAGCCCTGATTGTCCGTAGTAAGGATGAAGTCGGCGCGATTCATTCACATGGTCGAAGGCACATATGTCGGCACGCCATGCCTTCCCAATACGGAAAGGCATGGGTTTGTCTTCGTGTGCCGCGAAGATGGGAGACGAACGAATCACAACACTCGAATGCGGACGTCTCTGACTGCTTCTACGGTCGATGTCGTCCCTCACGAGAGGTGAAGAGACTCTCAGTCCGGCACAGAGCAAGCTCGCTGTGGGCGTAGAGGCCATATAGGAAAACAGACCGGCAGGGACGGCAGTGGAGTGGCCACTCGTCTCGCGAACGCCGTCCAGGCACGCATCGCATGAGCTCCAAATGAGCGCAGCAGACAGTGTTGATTGCATCTACGAGCAAGATCATGAGAGAGGGGACGCACGGAATCAGGATAATGTTACGCACTATGGGTCATTGTCGACTGTGCACCCACCGAATCCCGCGATCTGCACACCTACGTGATACCCCATTTGGATCTCAAGCGCTTGATGTCCTACTCGCGGGCGAATCCATAGGAGCTCACGACCAGCACGTGTTCGAAGGCCTCATCACGCAGTGATCGTATGGATGCCAGAGACACGGATCCGATGTCCGTCGATAGCCTGAGAAGGTCGGGGACTGAAAGGGATCAAGGGAAAAGTACTTCGAGAAAGCAGATTAGTTATGCATTTCATATATGTAACAACCCGACCCACCCGTTCAGCAGCATCTTCGCTGGCAATTGTGCATCTCTCAGATTTGACGTGACCAATGACGATAGCTGGTACACGTAGATCATCGTGGTGTTTGACCGCACTGGTGCTGCACTTCGTTAGGTGATCACGTTGATATCCACAGGTAGTAGAGCGTGTACATAGCGACTGTCCTGAGCTTGGAGGTGTCTGTGAAGGGGATGATGGTCGTTATCTGGGGCGTGCGCAGGATAACAGACAAACGCGTCACGCGTGTGGCCCTTATCACCGAAACGACTACACACTGACCACCATCTGACCATTGAAAACGCATCAAAATATGGTTCTGTGATGGGGCGCTGTGACCTACGTGCCTATGACTAGTCTAACAACGTGACTAACCGCAAGACTGTCGACACCCTGGCGTGCAACTGATGGGTCAAGCGATGGGGCATTAAACGAGAGGCATGGCATGAAACCCGGTTCATGCTACATCATCTTGTGCAAATCGAAAACAAAACAGATACAGGTTATGCTAATTTGAAGTGCGTCGTTTTCTCTTTCCGCATCTCACGCTTCTATTCCCGCCACGTGCCGTCTACGAGTATGACTCACTACGCCCGATAGCATGGCCCATCTTCCCAAACCCATGATTATCGAACTTGAACATCATCTCTGATTTGCTTAGGTCGAAGATCGCCCGGGCGGTGATGCACCCGAAGATCTCCCTCGAGGTTGGGGATGAATAGCCGACAATGTCGCTCGTTGCCAGGGGACAATCGAGTTGAACCCATCCAGCTCCGAAGATGAAGACAAAAAGGAAGACCATTGAAACCCCGAGGCTGTTGGCGGATCCCCTGCACAGGTAGGCGGCCAGTGCTGAACCTTGCGCGCAGAACATCGTCACTGCGGAATAGGGCATGCAATCCCATCCCCATCCAACAACACTTGGCTGGTGACGCAGAACAGGTTGAACACAAAGAGGACGGCCTGACTACACGTATCCAGCGGCGGAAGTCTGAACAGACTCGTAGTGGGCATGTACAGGTTAACAGGGAAGTACTCGAGGAACTGGCCGAGGATCGTCAGCCCTTCTGATCTCAGTACGGGACACCTTGTGCAATAGACCCTCGGACAACAGAAGCCAATATCCGACTTCTAAGATACGCCAGCTGGAGAGGAGCGGTCCTTGCCTGCCTCACAGCCGGAAGTTGGAACGGGCAACCGCGGCTTCATAACGCATATCCCAACCCGGGTCTGTCGCTTTCGCCGTATTCACCAGATCCGGAGCGTCCATCTGATCCAGACACGCCGCCAAGCGCATTCCCAAACCTCCCAATAACAAAGCATGCCGTATCCAGTCCGAGCGCCCCACTGCAAGATCCTGGGGCTTGAAGGCGGGGAAGATCAGTCCCCTCAGGCTCATATAGGCAGTGCTAGCTGAGAGCACTTGTGCAGAGGGAGGAACCGCGGAAAGACGAGTCAGGCAAGCTGGGAAAGCGTCCGACGTTTAGAAGACGCCCTTCGGGGCCGGAGTACAGCAACAGGGAAAGAAGGGGGAGAGAAGAGAAGGGCCGGGGTCATGAACGCGAGCCGGCGCCCTCAGGAGTCCATCTTCCGATCTATTCATGTGAGCGCGGCGCGTACGAATAAGGCGCCGAGGCCTTTCGACAACCGCGGGGGCAAGACCTGAAGCTGGTGTTTCCTGTCCTGACTGCGACTGCGACTGCGACTGCGACTGCGACTTGGACTGAGACTGCAAACGCATCCCTGCAGCTGGCTGGGATCCATCCTTAGTCGCAAAAACCTGGCTCGACGATTCCTGACATCTCCCGTTAAGCCAGCGAGGTAAGAGTACTGGTATGCATCTGCCTCGTAGAGCGGATCAACAGAGGACGTATGATAACCCCCAGTTGGTGAGTATGAGTATGAACGACGACGTGAATATCATGATTCGGGGACATACTTCCCGCGGCCCGCACCCCGATCAGCGGAACAACTCGGGAAAACCTTTCACCCAAACCGACCCGAGAACCCTCAGAAGCAGGGCGCAGGCGTACGAAGGATAGGAAAGATAGGAAAGCTGATCGTTCGTTCGTTCATTCGTAGGATACGGTCGTCCTTTTCGCAAACATGACACGCATTGTACTAGTACCCAACGCTAGTAGCCTAAGCCCCCCAGCCCGAAGATTGATATTGAAGTGAAGAATGAAGAGTGAAGAAAAGAACACGCGTAAGAGGACTAAGAGCAAGAAACAGGAAAGAGAGTAAAAGAGTAAAAGAGAAGAGTACTGATACCTTGTCCATTTCTGCATTCCCCATCCACTTCCTTTTCCTTCGTTTTCGTTTGATATTTTCCGCATTCCTATCCGTATCCTCATTCGCACGCGTCTGCACTCCCGGGCCTTGGGCCCAGGGTTGCAGATCCGTTTTCAATTTCGTTCCCTCCCCACCTCTCGCATCAATATAACCAGAAGAAGAACCCCCACGCCCGTCCCTGATCCCAAGTCCAGCCCAGCCCAGGGAAGTGAGAGCAGACCAGAGCAGAAAAGAAAACGGCCTATGTCTCCTGCTCTTCCGGCGCCGGGTTCGGCTGATCCCTCTCCCTCTCCCCACCCCCACCCCCACCACCACCAGCAGGAGCATCCTGAGCCTTCTTCCCCCCTTTCTTCCCGTTCGTCTTCTCCGGACTCTGTACCGGTGGAGGGTACCTTCTCCCTCCAGGCGGGGGCGGGGGCGGGTAGCCAGGTGTGAACCCATACGCTGCCCCGGGCACATGAGGGTACGCGTACCCCGGCGGAGGGGGTGGGAAAGCCCCTATAGGTCCATAGGCATACAACGGTGTCGGCCCTTCTAACCCGCCTCGTCCTTTTCCCGGTCCGGTCCTCGCTGCTCCCGCCCCCGCCCCCGCGCCAGACCCAGCATGAGCACCAGCACCAGACCGGTGGATCGTCGCCCCACTCGCTACGTCCGCCAGGTTGGTAGAAGCGACTGCGCGCCGATCGGCTTCCCGATCCTCCTCGGACATGCTAAGTAGTGCTCGGTTCTTCTTCCCTGGACCGCGTCGGCGGGGAGGGCCGATCTCGTACCTGCAGTCGAGTTCGCGGGTTATACACTGGCCGCAGGAGGGTCGTTCGCCGTCGCATTTCAATTTCCGGCCTGTGCGTAAGTTAGCATATGGAAGATGGGAGACGTGGAAGGGAAGAGAGGAAGAAGGGTGACGCACGACGACAGAAATCACAAGCTACGTCAGTCTTCTTCGCTGCTTTCCGAGGTTCTCGCTCTTCCCCATCGGCATACGGCCCCGTGCTCGCGCGTCTCTGTGATCCCCCGCCTGGGGAACGCATCGCTCCTGTTGTAGGTGGGTAGTCACCCGGTGCTCCAGGGGTGAAGTAGTGCGGGAAAGGGGGTATTCCGTAGGGCATTGGTGGTAGTGGTGGAGGGAGTGGGTTTGAGGGGTCGCCACCCTGTGCTGGGTCTGGTTGAGGAAGTGGATAAGGGTAGAAAGCGCCTTCTGTTCCTGGGGGGAATGACCATCCTGGATGAGGAGGATAAGCGCCTACGCCTGGAGGAGGGAAAGGGTAGTGTGCTGAGAGGTGAGGAGGTTGAGGAGGGGGGTTATTGGCTGTGTTGGGGTTGCCGTGGTTGTTGTTGTTATTGTTGGTGGTGTTGGCGTTGGAGGATGCCATGGATGACGATGAGGATGACGGGAGGTGAGCTTGAGAGCGGAACGGAGGGAGTTTTTAGGGGGAGATTGATGAACGGAGATGATGAAGGGGAGAATGTGTGAATGGAAGGAAAGAGGCGTGGGAGCGCGGCTAATAAAGGGGAATAGCTATATAAGGGAGGAGTGGCGAAGCAAGGGTGAGAGAAGCAAGGGGGGATTGATGGGGATGATACGCGATGGTAAATTGATAAGGGTGGAGGGAAGAAAGGGGAGTGAACGACGTGAGGGTTAAAGACGATGAGGTTGAGGTGGCGTTCAACACTGCGAGGAGAGGCATGTCACATCCCCGAATTGGCTTATATACTCATCCGATCACTCCTCTATCCACCATCATGAGTCAATCGCTCATTCACACAGAAGGGAACGGCCCCCTTAACCCCTATTCACCAACCCACAACGTTCAACGCAACATCCAACTTCCCCACCGTCCTTTCATATAATACTCCCACCACCTCTCCCGCGGCACAAAAAGGACGCAGCAAAGAACGGGACGAGACAGTGAGCAGATAGACTCTGTCCCCTTCCCCCCTTCCCTCCTTCCCTCCCCTTCCACCCCCCCTTCACCCCCCTTACCCGAAATGGAACACACTTCAAACTCCGACACAGACTGGCGGGCCCAGCGTATCGCCTCCTCCAAAGCAAGACATGCCCCCTCGTCTTCGGCCCTTATCCACTCTCTCTTCGTCCCTCCTGCCTTCCCTGTCTTGCACCTCGCGCTCCTTCTCGCACTTACGCTCGCACGCCATCCCCGCGGACCGGGAATCTTCCGCACCCACACAGCCACTCGGGGGATCTTCGTCTCCGACCAAGTAGAGTAGCCTGAACGTATCACCCCTTCGTACTTCCCTTCGAACAAACAAGAAAGGCGGGGTACTCTAACCTCCAAATAGGATACCCATCCAATAATAGCATATTCGTGGCATCACACCAATGGTCAAACCCAGTCTGCACACATAGTAGTGTATATGAGATATGGATGACTCGGCCCGGCACCTCTTCAAGCCGGTATTCGTCAGGGTAAGGGCTGGCGTGACCCGGCGGCCAATCCTATACGCGCGGGCTCGCTGGAGGGTACATATACTCCCACTCCCAGCGCTGGTCCAGCTAACTAGCACCAGCACCAGCACTGGCTCTTCTTCGCAGGATGACCTGGTCTCGTACGCTCCTCCCTCCCTCCCAGCGTTCTGCGCTCCGCTAACAAACCCCGCGTGGCAGGTCTCCTCCGTTTCCTCCCTCCGAACTCTACCACCCCTCTCCTCGGCGAGCCAGTCAACGAAGCGCAAGATGTAGGGCTCGCGACGCTCAACGGGGAGGAAGTGAAAGTTGCTGTCTTTTCGGGGAGTAGCGTCCTTTCCCCTGGGGAGAAGACGGGGAGGGTGGAGGTTGTGGAGAGGCTGTTGAGCCCGCTTGCGATGGAGGAAGTGGGCACGATTAGGTGTATAGGACTTAATGTGCGTTATGCGCTTGTTTCTGATGGAGGAGCTCACTCCGTGTTGGATAGTACATCAAGCACGCGCAGGAAGCTGGGATGCCCTTGCCCAAAGTCCCCGTTCTCTTCCTGTACGCCCTCCCTCTCATTCCCAACCCCCCTCCCCCCCTCACCTCTCCCAGGAAACCCTCCACAGCGCTCTCCGACCCCTACCCTTCCCCAACTCCCATCCCCCGCCCTTTCGTAAAGGACGACGCAGCGGATTACGAGTCCGAGCTGTGTGTCGTCATCGGCCAGAAATGTAGGGACGTCTCGGAGCAGGAAGCGATGGGTTATGTGCTTGGGTATACGGCGAGTAATGATGTGAGCTCGAGGGTTGCACAGCTTGAGCAGAGCCAGTGGTGTTATGGAAAGGGGCAGGATGGGGCTTGTCCGATTGGTGTGTCCCTCTCCCACTCTACCCAACCTCTACCCCATCCCCCATCCTCTATCCCCTAGGAAGCTAACCTCCCCTCGTAGGCCCAACGATCGTCTCCACCAACGCGATCCCCGACTACACCCAGCTCCACATGCGCGGCCTACTGAACAACACCCTGGTCCAAAGCACAAAACTAGACGACCTGATCTTCTCCATCCCTCAAATCATCGCCTTCCTCTCGAAAGGCACGACCCTCCTCCCGGGAACGTTGATCCTCACCGGTACTCCGGCGGGCATTGGTTGGGCTATGAACCCCAAGGGGACCCTTAAGGATGGAGACGAGTTCAAGGTGGAGATCTTGCCGCTTGTGGGGACGTTGGTCAATAGGATCGAGTTTGAGAAATGAGCTCTGGGATCGGTGGGAATAAGTATATAAGGTTGTATGTCAGTTAAGGAAGGGAATGAGCAATGTTGACCGTGTGCGTATGTGACAAACTGTGTGAGCGTTGAAAGTGCTTCACGTTGTTCGGTGATAAAACAGTACCGGACAAAAATAGTGACGCGGCCCTTCACGCGATTTCGGTGAGAAATCCCTATCGGAGATAATGCACGGTCTTCAGTCCCGTTTTGTACAATTTCGAAGACTACAACAGGCATCCGGATAATTATTTCCACAGAAGAATAGTTCTGATGAGCTAGTTCCGAGAATATGAACAAGGAATCGCTCCCAAGTTACCGATGAAAACTGCTTTGCTGAGGGCGCCATTTTGAGCCCTCCGCATGGTAAACATGCGAAGAGACACCTCCTCATAGCCAAGATAGCAACGCATTTTGGGTGAGATAACCCATTTTTTATGCTTAAATTTGATTATCAAAAACCATATGTACCCTCTACTGGGTCTCTGGCATGAGACTTTAGTCCTGGAAATGCAGGAAAGTGCACTCGAGAGCGTGCATTATCTCCGTTAGGGATTTCTCACCTAAATCGTTTGTCCGGTACTGTATATACACCGAACACAGCCACCCATTTCCCTTTATGCTGACGCTTGTCAAAGCCTTTGTCAGCCCGCTTTTTGCTGGCGCGGCAGGTAGGTTTCCACCGTTCCCTATGCCAGTAGTATAGGATGTCAGACACGATCGAACTCCAGCCCATTCCTGCAAAGGCCGAACCGCAACCAACTACAGAAACAGTCCAACCCGTGCAGGAAACGTTAGTCTCCTCCCTTGCCCCCGTTGACAAAGGCCGCGATGCATGGCTCTTCGTCCTCGCGGCGTTCATGACCGAAACCTTTGTCTGGGGGTTCGCATTCATGTTCGTCCCTTTCCCTTCGAGTAACCCTCCTTCTAAGCCCACCCGATGCCCATACTATAGATACGGCGTCTTCCAGAACTACTACGCCTCCTCCCCAGACTCTCCTTTCCGCGGCGCATCTCTCTCCGCTCTCTCAGCAATCGGCACAACAGGGCTCGCAGTCCCCTACATATCCGGGCTGATCCTCCCCGCATTTATGGCCCGGCATCCGAGGTGGATCCGGTGTATGCAATGGCTTGCGCTGGGGTTGGGAACTGGAAGCTTCGTCCTATCCAGCTTTGCGAACTCTATTTGGCAGTTGATCATCCTCCAAGGCGTACTGGTCGGCATCTCGTGCGGTATCCTATACACACCAGTCATTTTATGGGTAAGTGCTTCTTTGCTTTTCCGCCGTAGTTGATGTTCGGCCTGATACGAGCATAGCTGTACGAATGGTTCGTCGAGCGTCGTGGGCTCGCAGGCGGGATCTTACAAAGCGGCACCGGGATCGGCGGTGCCGCCTTCCCGCCCCTAATCGGGTTGCTTCTCGAAACAGTCGGGTTCAGGTGGACACTCCGCATCTGGGCAGTCGCGTTCGCGATATTTACTGGGATCGCGATATGTTTCATGAAACCCCGATTACCGATCCCTGCTGTCGCCCAGGCACGTAGCGCACCTATCGATCTCTCATATCTAAAGAACCCGATATTCGCTGCTGTCGTAAGTCACTCACGCCAGACGTGACTAGACGCTGACACAAGGAAGGGACTGACGATCCTTGTCCAATCGCTGGCGTACTTTCCCGTCAACTTATACATGCCGACGTACACCAGCCTGCTCGGACTTCCCCCGCTGGACGGCCAGCTCGTGCTCTCCGTCTTTAACCTCTTCTGTGTTATTGGCCAGGTGCTGATCGGATGGATGTGCGACCGCATGCCCTATTCCCGGGTGATGATGTTCTCCGCCCTAGGCTCGGCGTTTGCCGCATACCTTCTCTGGGGATTCGCCAATAGCCTTGGCCTGGTCTTCCTCTTCGTCGTCATCTTCGGTACCACCGCTGGAGGCTTCAACTCGATCGTACCCCCAGCGACGGGGGACATCGTCGGACCCTCATCCCCAACCTCAAGTGCGATCTTCGGTTCCTTCGCAGCAGTCAAAGGCATAGCAGCAATCATCGGGCCCATCATCGCCGCGTCGCTGTTTGATCCAAGCAACTCGGGAACGATAAGCAAGTTCGGAAGTCATGGGTTTGGGAAGGTTACCCTCTTTGTAGGAGGGATGATGATGGCCACTGCGGCGTTTAGCGTCCTGTCGGGCGTGGCTAGTCATTCTCGCAGGCGACACGCAGCTGGGATAGAAGCATGATAAAAGCAAGGGAGGCCTCAACTTATCTCGGGGCCCCACATGGTCTGTATCGTTTGTCCCATGTGGACTTACGACACGGTCTAGTATTAAACATTTTGGAATCCAACACACATTTATTCATACCTCTTTCAGCGCCATCTAGAGGGAAACTGCCATCACTGTTTGGGATAATGAAGCGAACATAAGAAAACCCATTGGACTTCCTATGGTGCAAGATCTTCGGATAGGAGATGGTCTGTGATCTTGCGTATGTGACACGCCTTGCGATTGTGGTATCATGGAGAGCCTCTTTGCCAGTGAACGGAATAGGCGAGGAACTACGGTAATGGCAGAGAACGGAGACACTTCCTGAGTTTTGCACCCCTTAGAGAGATGAGGTGCGGTGTTGTTTGATGGAGTTGAACGACTGAATCCCCCAGCTCGTGAGAGTAGTTCTTACCTGCGATCAAAACGCTGACAGTAGAAAGGGTATGGTAACTCCATGGTGTACTCTACACCTCCCAATGAGGCGTCAGGAGAAGGTCCGCTGGAGGGGGAGTCGACAGTGGTAGCCCGTGCGTTGTAGTAGGCAAAACCAGGCCTAATCGAGTGTTGCTTCCTGTAGGAGAGCCGCTCGGATGCCAAGTCGAGAGGTATGAGATGTGCTCAGAAGCCGGACGCAGCAATCCGAAGGGGGTTCGAGCTGAAAGGAGAAGTGGAACGGGCTGACTGAGACGATCGAGTGTGGTTTCCGAAGAATGAGAGGTCGAAACGAGACTCGGAACAGTCCAAGAGGCAGATAGGCTAAGGAGTGACTGTAAAGTAAAGCAGTAGTATTAGTTGTAAGATAAGAGATCACCCGTCTTGAACGAGTGCAGTCGAGAGTGAGTCAGAGAGAGGAGTCCGAGCGTCCCTATCCGAAGTATCCGAATCCGCCTATATACGTTCGGAGCGGTTCGGACCTTCGGACTACTACTAATCTATGTCTAATCTACATTACCTAATGCTATGTCTAGTTCACTTCTTGCTTCCAATAGTCCGGTCTGGCTGAGTTCAAGATGTCGTTTGAAGAGGTGTTCAAAGGTCAGATTTGAGCTTGAAACTCGAATGTGCAGCACATCTTGTGGGGGACTTGTTCAGTGACTGTCCTCAGTCACATGATTGTTGTTGAGGAATCTTCTGGAATGGCCTGATGAGTCACAGTGGGGGGTGGTTCAGATTGGTGGTTTGAGGTGGTCTTTCGAGTGGTGGTAGGCAGCAATATGGTGGTGTGAGCTTTGTTTGAGTCAGGGCCTACACGCAAAGGCCATTCAGTCATCAAGGAAGCATGGTCTAAACCTCAGGCCTTCAGACTTAGTTGATGGGACCTATTCCAACCCAGCATATAAAGAGAGGTGTGGTGGGACCTTTTGTATGCTGCTGCCTTATAATTTTTCTCTCTCTTGCCACCATCATCCCCTCATCTTGATTTTCCCCTGCTTGACTAAAACATGGCTCCCTCCAGCACTTGGGCTGCCTCTGGCAAGAAGCCTTCATCCACCAAGGCAAAACCCAAGGCTTCTTTGAACAAGAAGCCTGCTGCTGCAGATATGAAAAAAAGTTTGAGAGCTTGGAAGGCCTCCGGTAAGAAGACTTGGTCGAAGGAGTTGGTGAAATCCTCACATGACAAGTTGACTGATCCCAAGGAGGAGGATCCCCCTGCCATGCATCCCTTCCTTTTTCCTTAGTGTCCTTTCCTCTGCTGACTGTTGTGTAGACACCAGAGCCAGAGCCTGTGGCCAATCATCCAGCCTCAAATGCAAAGGCAGCATCCACACAGGTGACACCCTCAAAGAAGACATCTGCGCCCCCTTCAAAGACCTCGACTCCAAAGTTGAGAGTCTCTTCAACCAGATTGTCCACACAGATCGAGAAGGAGCTGGAGTTGCATGAGGAGCCTGAGGAGAAGCAAGAGCCTGAGACGGCCACTGAGGAGCGTGTCATAGAGGAGGGAGGTGAGGCCAATGATGAGTCACCAGAAGTAAGTTCCACCTTTGGCTAGTTGTGTGCCTCATACTAACCTGTTCCACAGGAAAGCCATGTTAAAGAGACCACTGTGGAGCCAATGGAGGGTGAAGAGGAGGGGGTAAATTTTCCACTGCATATATGTGCTTCTTTACTGATGTGGTTGCAATAGGAACAGCCCAGGAAGGGCCTCTCTGAGATCCTTGCCATGGTCCAACCCTTTGGTGGAGATCTCAATGCTTGGAGGGCAAATGGTGGCATGTCCAAGTTCTGGGTATGTCTTCCTTTTCAGTTTGAACTTCAGATCTAACTTCTTTGGCAGATTGAGCTTGTCAAGTTCATTTTGAGGCACAATAGGAAGAAATATTGGCAGGCCCTGCCTTCAACTGCAGTGTTGTTCATGGGTCCCACTTTCGAGATGCAATGGCACATGAGAATGGCTCATGTATTATCCCCTTTTGGGTTGCATTTTTCTAATTGTCTTGCAGGGGAATCAACTCATGGTAAAATTGCTGGTGTGAGGAGGGCTGTTGTACTTGCCCTTTGAGGAGTGGGTGGAGGGGGACAGGAAAGCTGTTGTGGGGAGGGACAATAAGCCTCCCTTTGACTCTGGGGCCCTCAGGCATCAGACGGAGCTTGAGGCCATTCTGGCCAGTAACAAGGAGGTATGCAGAGCATTTTCCCATTGTCAAACTGCTGACTGACATTTGAATAGCCAGACGAGAACCTCAAAGCTGTGATTGAAGCTGAGGAAAAGGCTTGGAATGCTCTGTCCACAACTGAGCAGGTGCAGCACCTACTCGCTGTGCAGACATACTGCCAAGCCAGTTTCAAAGGGAGTCCATTGCTTCCTGTTTCAAAGGTGGTGACTCCGATTCCCTCACCCAAGAAGGCAACCCCAGTGTGCTCACCTGTAAAGCCGGCTTCTGTCCTGGCTCTTCCAAAGATGACCATCATTGTGGAGATCCCAATTGGCAGTCCCAGTCAAGGGTCTCCATCTCTGCCGCTGCTTCTCTGCCTCCTTTGCCCTTGAAATCTCTGTCCATGGTCAAATCAACTCCTGCCCCTGATGACTCAAAGAAAGCCAGCAAGGTGCCAAAGAAGAAGCTCAGTGCAGCTCTCCTGGCTCTGGCTGCAGAAGCTGAGGTAGATCTGCTGCCCATGCCCAATGGTGTAAGTTGTTTTGAGTTGCTGGCCTTCTTTGTGCTGACTTGTTCTAGGTCCTCCAGTCCCACATGCTGGAAGCTCTCAAGGGCATGACTAAAGCCACTATGATGGCTGCCAAGTTTGATGCTGGTAAGTCTTCAAATCGGTGTTTGTATCTCAGCTGATGTCCTTTCAAAGCTCAATCCAGACCATCTTCATGGGGACTGTCTGTCCATCATGGATGTTTGCCTGTCACCAGTATGGCCAATCTCCTACTTTACAAAGGTGAAAGGTTTCAAGAACATAAGTGTTTCTCCTTTGTCGTTTTGAGCTCTGATTCTAACTTCAAATAGTTGTTCTGGGTTCTCTGCAAGAAGCCCATTCTGGTACATCTCCTTCTTATCCGTCTAGATCCTTTCTAACTTCTGTCTTAGTGTGACATGTGTGGCTCCAACAAGGAGGGCCAATGGTGCACCAGTGGATGGAATCACTCGGACATTGACTGGAAGGGCAAGCTGAAGCAGGTTGGTTGCTCCTGTGACTTGTGCAGGTGCAAGGGCTACAGTTGTAGCTTCCTTGTGCATGGTAAGTGTTTTTCCTGCCCATTCAAATTTTGATACTGATGTCAAACAGATAAGGAAACTGCTGGCAAAGGCTAAAAGGCTGCCAGTTTGAAATGCAAGGCAACAGTCGACGTAACTGGTGATGACTCAAAGAGGCCCAACAAGAGGGCAAAATCCAGTACCATGAAGATGGAAAGTGAACTGACATTCACAATTCTGGATGTGGTTGTGAGTACGGAGATGGCATGGAGGGATGTGGATTCTCTTGCATTCTTGAAGTATTCAGGCATGTTCTGTGAGTCTTTTGTTATTGTTTTTGGTACTTCTTCTAACATGTATCAAACAGTGCAGTGCCTTCACTGCCTCATCTGTGACTCCAAATGCCTACATGTCATGCACACCATCCTCAGTGAGAGCCTTTGCATTCTTCACTCTGACCTTAGGAAATCTGGCAAGATTGACAACAACTACTTCTCAGTTATGGTGTTGCCTTGGAATGCCTGTGAGGCTGCCAATGCCATCTATCATATCCAAAGGGGCAAGCCAATTCCAGTGGTTGACAAGGAGTTGCAAAAGGCCCAGGCAGCCTACCACCATTGTCACAATGACTCTGGCGAGAAGGGCAAGTCCTCCTGCCAGGCAGACAAGGGCAAGCAGCAGGCCAAATGTGAGTATCTCAGATTTGCATCCAGTTTCACTCAAACTGACTCTTGGAACAGAATCTTTCTTTTATCTTATTTTTCAAAGGTCTTGATTCAAGGTGTCAATATGGAGTTGTGGCTGGTATCAAGGGAGTGGGATTGTGGATAGAAATATCCTGACATGAGCATGTAAGTTAGTTAATGTGCAGATGAAAGAATTAGTGCTTGAAACAACCATGTGATTTCTCAAATGAGCATTCATATATGTATTCCGTATTGACAGAGATACACTTCTCAGTATGGGTATAGTGAAGTCCATTTCTGTCAGGGCACCAGCTCATCATTGGTCAAGAGACATGACTAAGCCTTTATGACATGGAAGTAGCTGGTATACCTTGGCATGTGCTGGAACCTGCTGGAAGGATTGGATGGTCAGGTGACCTGCTGTGCATGGCTGTGCATAACCTCATATGACCTCATCCTTGGTCATATGACCTGACCACCTGACTAGGCTGAGTAAGCAAGATGTTCTAGCAGGTTCCACCACAGAGGTATAAATATAAGGCCTACTCTGCCTGGGGACTGTCTCTTCAGACTTGGTCTCTTAGGATCATCCACAGGTACCTATACTGTAGATAGGTCTTAGTCATCAGGTCTACTCCACTTCCTTGTTGCCTGCTTAGGCTCTTGGCACTCTTAGGTGAGCAGACTTAGTCAGCCTGTGTTGCCCTAACATGGACATTGGCCAACTGTGGCACCATCTTCAATATGTGTTGGGACAATGGTGCACTGCCACTCTTGGTGCAAACTTGACAGACCAATAAAGGGCTTTATGTCAGGCATTGTGATATGTGAAACATAAGCACTGCATTAGGGCTTCTTGCCTTTGTAATGTCATGGATATCTCTGGATTGGGCAAATGACAGTGTAGGGCAGCCT